TGGGTCTTCATGAAAAATATTTGTTGTCTACAGGTTTTCATAAACATTAGAAATAGTATATATAAGGAACTATCATGTGTTAGATATTCAGTAAATGGTAGTAGTAATAATAAAAGACACTGAAATGAAAGAAGTTTAAAAGTGTATACTTTCATTTTCTCAGAAGATTAATGTTTATGATACATTACTAATGATTTGCAAAAACTTTACTAAAAGTATATTCAATGCAACAGTTTCTAATTGACAAATTTGGATTTCATCTAAATGTTGATACAACCATTAATAACAATAAGAATATAATGACATGAAAAGATGTTTACGATGTGAGGGGAGTGTTTTAAATCATTACCTATGCCATTATTAAATTCTTTGGGGAAAAAAAAAAAACAATACATAGGTTTAAAGGAAAAAAAAAAAAAACTGGGTATGGTCCTGTATGCCTGTAATCCCAGAACTCAAGAGGCTGAGACAGGAGGATCACTGTGACTTTAAGGGCAGCCTGTGCTACATGGTGAATTCAAGGCCAGTCTGAACTACAAGTAAGACCCTGCCTCAGAAAACCTTTTTAAAAAGGCTTAAAGGACATATAGTAAGGCAAAAAATAATTATCAGGAATAACGGTATAATTTTCCTATTAGTTGAGCTGTAATTTCTAATTATCGTAGTGATTATTTCATTTTTAAAGCAGCAGTGTGAAACTTTTTATTGATTTCCTGGAAGTAAGCCCAATTTGAATGTTCAACACAGAAATTTAAATCCTTAGGCTTCCATCTGTATTCAGACCCTGATGTTGATTGATTAAAAGTTCATTCTAATGCAGTTTGTAGGAAAGAGTTTGGTAATAAAAGAAAAAAAAACCCTGCTGTACACCATGGCAAAGTGGTACTTGTGAACAAGTATCAGAGATGCCTAATCTTCCGCAGCGTTCCTACCCAGCAGAATATGGACAGGTGTGTCACCCAGCACATCTCAGGAGTACAGCTTGCCTGTTCTGCCACTCACCTCACAGAGCTGGTAGGGAGGAGTTGATCCCGCAGTAACAGGAGAGAGGCCTGAAGGAAATGAAGCTCACGAAACGCTGGTGAGTGGCTGAGGAAGGAGCTTTCCCTCTTGCCCGGCAGGGACAGGAGGCGGAGGGATCTTGTTTGTAAGCCTGGTAGAGCCATCCCTCTCCTCCGAGGAACACAGTTGAGGCATCTGTGCTGTGACCAGGTGGGGAAGAATCTGGAGAGTTGAAAATGAGATCATTTAATTATAAAGGGAAGTATGAAGTGCCTTTTTCCCAGAATACACACACTCTCTGCTTATGTCTAGCTGAGAATTTGCTTTGTGAAAGACCACGCTCCGTTTCCAGCCTATGCGTGTAATTTCTCATCCCTGTGATTTATAATCCTGTACACTTGCAGAGCTTGAAGGAACTCAGTGTGACAATGGGAACTAACACAGGAACGACCAGGGCTGGTCTTGAGGGCTTGTCCTTTATAGGTCTCTTTGTAAATGCACTTTTGGAATCTTGGCATGTCCCAGCCCAGGCTGCCTGGGGATGGCATAAAGAAAGGAGCAGATTAAATCATTTTAAGAGACTTTGGCAAAAAGGGTAAAAGATAAGGGTATGTAAAACTAGAATCGGATCCCCAGCACTGTTCAACAAAGGAAAGTAGGTACTCGACACCACATCAGTCATTAATAGGTGCTTAATAAAACTGAAATCTGTATTTACCAAGCAATGTGTCAATTCTATAAGGTCAAAGAACCCTTTTTAAATTTTTGTATTACTATATGTTTGCAATACACCGTAATTACATTCATCTTGGGGGAATTGGTACATAAACATATTAATAATCTTTTTTTTTTTCGGTTTTTTGAGGCAGGGTCTCACTTTGTAGTTCAGGTCAGCCCTGAATTCACTATGTAACTCAAGTAGGCCTCAAACTCAGAGCAGTCCTCCTGCCTCAGCCTCCCAAGTGCTGGATTGCAGGTGTACGCCATCACACACCCCCGACCAGGCTCAATAATCCTTATCTTTTTACGAGTGAGGAAACTAAGGCCTAAAGAGGCAAATTACCATACAACTAAGAAATAACAGAACTAAATTAAAAAAAAAAAAAGCAGCTGAAATTCAAACCTAGACAATCCATTCTCAGGAAAGCTTATGATAAGGAGGGATATAGATGGATAAGAAATTAAAGTATGCATTAAGCAAAATATAAGTTAAAGAATATCTACTGGAAAGTCAGGCACGCAGGATGCCACATGAGGCGGAGGGTCTGAGGCTGTAGTCGGCAGAGTTTGCCTGGCATGCAGGCCCTGGGTTCCATCCCAGCACTGAAGAAAACAAAAATAAACAAGAACCATCCCTACCCACAGGGAATTTATTGTCAGTACTTGTGGCCAATCTTTTCCTTGTTCGGAATCCACACAATCTGTGTTTCACTAGAAATCTATACCTAAGTCTTTGGCTATAAGTAGGCACAGCTCCTCTGTAAGAATGTTACATTTCACTCATTCCTAAATCTCCTGCCACGCCTTCCCTGTTTGTTGAGAAAGTGCTGTAAACATCTTCAATGAAGACTTTTTAAATTTTAGTGGTGAAGAGTCCAGGAGATTTAGAACATGGGCTTTGGAGAAGGGACCTATGTTGGATCCTGAGTCCTCTCTGTGACCTTGGGAAAGTTACACTGTTGCGGAAGTTACCTCATTCATAAAATGAAGATAAAAATACTTTGTTTCACAAGGCTGCCATAAGAGGTAAATGACATATTTCTAAAGTAATTCTGGCCCTTAAGAAACCATCCAAAGAGCCACTGTTTTTATTAGCAGTTGTGATACTACCGGTAGAGCCTTCTGTGCAAGAGCACTGCATCCTGCTTTGAATATTCTCTGGGTGGATGCCTCTGTCCCCCAACAATGGTCACTGAGAAACCTCCAGAATTCACTTAGATCACTTTTGCTTAAGCACACCTGAAGACATGGACCTCACACAATGCCGCAGTATCAGAAAACTGAAGCACTAAGTAGGACCAAGGTACTCACTGCGGATTTCTGAGTTGTTATCCTGTGTTTCAGAGCACTTGGCCTGGGTGCTGACCTGTCTGTCTTTTCGCCCATCCTCCTTCCTGAATCCTCTGCTTTCTTGGTCTGTTTCTGCAAAGCCTGTTTCATTGCCTTTGTACCCTTTCTTCTAAGCAGTAATACTTTCTTGGAATACCTTCTCCCTTCTCCCCAAACCTTCATCATCAAAACAGCTCTTGTAGCCAGTCGTGGTGATGGGCACCTGGCATCTTAGCACTCTAGAAGGCTGAGGCAGGAGAATTCCCAAGTTGAAGTCCACCCTGGCCAACTTAGTGACACTCTGTCTCAAAACTAGAAAGTCACAGTTAACCAAAAGGACTCACTGTACACTTCTGTGTTTTTTTATCCTGTGGAATGTATACTTTACTGTGTGGCTTAGCTTTGCATGGTGTTTGTTTGCGTATTCATGGTAATACAAGATTTGGTATTGATCTAACCAAAATTATGATGTGATTATATTGAAACGATGGATAGGTGCTATGGGGAGGGGTGAAACAACTAAATCCTCTTCCATTCTGGAAAGTCACTGGGTAATGCTCAAAGCTGGAAAAGTAAGAAGGATCAAAACAAGTATAATAGTTAGAAATGTGAAAGGAAATACTGCCCAAGAAGCAGTTTCTCTTGAAGCAGATGCAGTGTGAAGAGGTGTGTAGGGACTGCCTTTTTTGTACTTACCTGTTGACTTTTAAAACTTTAAACAAATACCTTTGATTTAAAAAAAGAAGACAGAAAGCACAATAGCATAACTACAAGACTACAGAAAGCGAAGGTATGAGCAACTACCGCAGTAGAGAAAAACAAGTTACACATTTCATTTGCTTTTCCTTTTTGGGGGGTGGTACTGGGAATTGAACTCGGGTCCTTGCACTTGCAAGGCAGGCAGTGGAGCCACTGAGCTAAATCCCCAGCCCTTCCTTTGCTTTTAAAATATGATTGTGTCTACACAAGAAAAAGGCTCGGAGGAATGTCCCAAGATATTTTTTAATCCCTAGATTTTGAGTCCGTTTTCCCTCTTTGATTTTTCTGCATGGTTTTTTTGCAGTTATTATTTTGTAATCAGACGGGAACACTTCTTTCTTACACAGGAAAGAGAAGTGGAAATGTGGGCGGAAGATTAGGAGCGAGCATTGTTTTTAATAGTAAGAGGCCACACAATCTAGCTACTGATCAGGCAATTGCTAATAAATAACGGTTTATAAAACCAGAGAAACGAGCGCAAGCTCCCGAGTTCAAATCCCCGGTACCAACAGAAATAAATAAGTTAAATAATTCAAATACATAAAAGCAGAGAAGCATTTTGCGGGTGTAATTGTGAAAAGAGGCTCTGAACAATGTAGAGCATGAATCACGCTGTTGTTCCTTCAGCTGAAATGCCTCTGCTTTCCCTTCCTGTTCACAGGCGTTTTCCTAGCTGTTCCACCCTTCAGGACGAGCTCTGACAAGCTCTCGTCACCCACCCACCCTCACCACTGTCATCTCCACCCCAGATGCTCTGTAGCTCCGCCCCCCACCTCGTATTCTCTCATTATCTGTCTGGTTTTTCTTCCCCACTCAATTTTAGCCTCTTAGGAAGCTGGGATGGGGTTCCATTCATTATCATGCTCATGCAAATCCCAGGACAAAAGAAAAAAGAGGTGTTTAATAAACGTTTGCCGGAGAAAGCAATGAGTAATGTTGGGCAATATTTGTGTTCAGTAGGCTAAGGGAAGTAGCAGCCACGCATTGGGGCTGGAGCCTGCGTAATGCTATGAGCCGGTAACGAGGGTGGGGGTCGTCCTGTTAATGAGCTAAGTGCTGCTGGGTTTTGTTTTCTCTCTTTTTGGTACGGGGAGGGGGCTGGGTGGGGGTCGGACCCGGGGACCTAGCACTTGTGAGGCAGGCAGCTGAACCACTGAGCTAAATCCCTGGCTGGGTTCTGTTTCCAACAGAGAGCCCCCGTACGGGCCTTGGAGTCTGTGGATGGATCTTGGTGGCTGCCTCGTTCCTGTTCACACTTATAACTTTCCCAATTTCAATATGGATGTGCATAAAGGTAAAGAACATCTCAGTCCCACCTGGGAAAGGGTCCGCTCCTACCTGCAGGAAAACTTACAGCTGCTTTTTGGCCGTTATGGGGTCAGCCCCTTCTCCCTGCATTGAAGTACGATCACCACTAAACTGTTTCTGGGCCAGGGATGTGAATCCGTCCCCCAAGAACTGGTTTCCCAGAGCTGGGATGGTGAGGCTTGCCTCCTGGCTTCGCTTCTTTCCGTGTGACCTTGCTATGTCTCCTCATGCGTAAGACGGAGGAAATAACCGCACCGGCTGCGTAGGACCATTGTGACGAGTGAGTGAGACAGGGCTGCCATACGTGACGTAGCGCAACGCCCGGCCCGTCATCAATGCTGTTAAATGCTGGTTATTTTTTCTGTAGTTATTAATGCTTGGATAAGTAGCTATGGTTTGCATATTCCTACAGGAATAAAATACGTTTCAGCCATTTTCCCATGAATTTGTTGTTGTATTTAAAGGAGTCAGAAGAAGCCAGGTGTGGTGACACACAGCCGTAATCCCAGCACTCTGGGAGGCTGAGGCAGGAGGATCTTAAGTTCAAGCCCAGCTCTTAGATATCTTGGCAGTTTAGCAGGACCCTATCGCTAAATAAAAAATAAAAAGGGCTGGGGATACCTCAGTGCAAAGGCCCTGAATTCAATCCCCGGTTCCACCAGAAAATAAAAAAAAAAGGAATCAGGACAAAAACTAAGGTTTTTTTTCTGAATAAGTAATGCATGAGCATAAAATCGAATAATACAACTGCGGAGGGAGTTACATATTTGTTTCCATATGCTATCCTAGACTTTCCAAAGGTATACAATGAATAACTATTGCTTTCATAATCAGTTAAAAATAGTAAATAAATATCATGCTTGGAGAAGATGAAAATTGTTTATAGATATTATCTGGATAGAGAGGAACTTGTTTGAACTTGAGGAGTCTAACCTATTTAGAAGAAAAGTGTTTAAGATATACATGTACATGTCTGTGTTCTTCGTGTTCAATGGCTGTTTGTGTCTTTATTCCAGATTATAAAGGAGTATGAAAGAGCCATCATCTTTAGACTGGGTCGAATTTTACAAGGAGGCGCCAAAGGACCTGGTGAGCACAGGGCTTGGGGGCTGCATGTCTGGGGAATAAAGTTCTGTTCCCTCATGAGGGCCCCTGCTCTGTTGACTTGGAAAGAGCCCATGAGCAGAAGCTGCGTAACAAAGAGCAGAGGCTCCAGCTAATCTCACTCCCGACCCCGCCCCTTCCCATTCCAGCTGATAAGATTCTCTCGGCCAGGAACAGCTACTGCTCTGCAGCTCTGAGCATGAGAACCCCTGTCAAGGAAAGGCCTTTAGTTGTTCATCTGGCAAACTTCAGCTGAGCTCCTCCTGTGTTCCAAGCCCTGGGAATCTAAGAGAGATCAGAACAGGCACCTCCCTTTAGGCTCTCGCTGTGTGCTCATGGGACGCCGACAAGCTGTCTCTTCAAACGTACTTTATCCTGTTGCTCTCACCCCTTTCTGAAGCAGTTCTGGAAGTCCTCTTTCATGAGCGTCCTTAGTTGTGCTGTTGCGGCTGCCTTCGTACCCTGAATCACTCCAGAACATTTACCTTGCACAGTCCTAGACCCAGAAGTCAGACAGTGCCAGATCTGGGGAATGAGGTCAAGGAGGGTGCAGCACCGTGTTTTCCCCCTCGGTCCTTCCACTCCATGGCGGTCCCCGCATTTTTTAATCACACCTCATGAAGACGCAGAGGAGACGTCCAGAGCTGCCTCTGAAAGTGGCGAGGATGATGGGGTGAATGTGTTCAAAGAAGAAAGGAAGTGTTTTGAGATTAACGGCAGTCTGTCTTTTACTGTAAGGATTCTTTTAAAAATGTAAACATTCGCGTGTATTCCGAGCATACCTAGTACACTGCGTGAGATGAGTGTTGTGATCAAGTAACCACAGAGAGCCGGAGAAGGGAGAAACCAAGGGATGAGCGCCTGACCTGGACTAGTACTGGATGAGGCATGGTCCCTGGGGTGACATCCCAGGCTCAGGAGCCCAATCCAGGGGGAGCACAGGGTATGAGGACAGAGGACGTGGCTGAGGAGGTGAGGAAGGCGGGACCTTCAGGACCACGGCAGGCAAGGTTCTTATCCTTAGGGAAGATGGCTGTGCTTGCACTGCAGCAAACGGGGCCTAAGAGAGAAGCTCCAAGAACGACTTGGGAAGTGATTACACTGGTCCAAGTGAAGGAAAAAAAGTGACAGTAGCAGTGGCATAAGGAAGTGAATTCCACGGGGCCTGTGTGGGAGCCTTCAAGGTAGGAAGTAAACAAGAGGAGTAAGGACAATTTCCCAGGCTTCTGGCTCATGCAGTTGGCAACTTCAGTCAATTGGGCAGATTCTATCAGAATTGCTGGAGAAGTGAGCTAAGATGCCAGGGCCTCTCTGATCCTGTGTGTTTCTTGGTCGCAGGTTTGTTTTTCATTCTGCCCTGCACAGACAGCTTCATCAAAGTGGACATGAGGACCATTTCTTTTGACATCCCTCCCCAGGAGGTGAGCTTTTCTTTTTTGGTGGGTAGCTAACTGAGGGATCGCATGTGAACACGCTTTACACTGAAAAGGGGGCACATTTTTGTTTTTGTTTTGTGGGGTTTTTTGTTTTGTTTTGTTTTGTTTGAAGACAGGGTCTCACGGTGTAGCTCCGGCTGGCCTTGAACTCTCTGTATAGTCCAGGCTGGCCTCATACTCTTAGTGATCCTTCTGAGCTCTGGGATGACAGGCGTCCGCCACCACTGTTGGCTTTGAGAAGGAAGACACTTTTGGTTCTGACTCCCTTCTCCTTCCCCAGCTCCATGCCTTGGGAGAAGAGCTTTATGTCTTATGTCTTCTGTGCCTGTTTCTTTCTGGCCTAAAAAACAGAGGTTGTGATAGCAGCACTACTTCCTAGGACTGCTGGGAGGAGTAAATGAGATGTTACACAGGAGGTGATGTTACACAGGAGGTGATTAGGTCGGTGCCCGATGAATAGTCAGTGTGGTGTGAATGCTCGCTGCTGTTAGGACTGAGTGGAGAATGTAGCGCTAACATTACCATTGCAGTCACCGTCACTGTTTTTACTACCGCAGTTCTCCTCATGGGTCTTGAATAGAAGATGCCATCCAAGTCAATAGTCATGATTCTGTGGTAGATAAATTGGTACAAGTCAAAGAATTTGAAATTGCTCACTTGGCAATTTTAGACATATTTGTCGATATGTTGCACTTTTTCCTGGCAACTTCACAAATATTGTCACAGTTGAAAAGCACAGCAGAATCTCTAGAAAGTACAGAGTTGCAGGGGGATGCAGGAATTCCTCCCATGGCAGTGGCAGAGCCAGGACTAAAATCCAGCTCCACTGAGTTGCTGTCCCCGGGGCTTTTCCCCAAGCTCCCTGCTAACATGCATCCTGCATTTGCTCCCTCCTGGCCTTCCAAGAGGCAACACCTGTGTCCCAGCCCACGTCTTAGGAGACAAAATGGCCATTGCAGATAGAAACACTGCAAGCATGGGGAAGGGAGGGATGGAAGAAGGCCGTCTGTGCGTCCTGGCTGCCACCCAGGTCCTCAGCATGATGGCGGAGCCTGGCCAGGTTGCTTTCTCTTGTCACAAAGTTCAGAAACCAGCTTGGGAACTCCCTTGCTGGTACAGATCCAAGTAGTTGCTCAGGTCAGGCTTTTTAATCCCCACCACCTTAGAGATACCAGAAATCACTTTTACCCACGTCTTACAAGAGCAAGCCTGAGAGCCTCCCTGTATTCTCTGCAAGTTTTCCCATCTCTCAAGGAAGACTAACTCAGAAGGAGCCCTTTCTCAGGGCTGCTGCGAATTCTGTCGGTTTCCTGTATAAACATCGCAGGCATCTGCTGCTGTGAGCTTCTCCTTTCCAGCTCCTCCCTCCTCCCCTGCAAGCTGCTGAACGCCAAGCAGATTGGAACTTGGCAAGCGATCCTTTTTCCGATCCCCTGTGAACTCCCTGTGAAGGGAGATAAACACTCTGCCTCCAAAACCATCGGCCAGAAGCTGCAGCTTTGAAAGCAGCTGTAACCGAGTCACAAAGGCAAGAGCGACGCTCATCTTCCCATCACATCCTGGGAAGTCATCTTCACACAAGATGCAAACAGACTGTACATTTATTTACAAGTCCCCTGCTTCGCTTTCTTGTTAAAGCTATTTTTAGATAACTGAAGGGGAAAAAAAAACAACAAACAACGCTGATTGCCTGCCTTGATGCCTGGCAGCAGTAACTAGCTACATGGCAACAGTGTTACTGCTTTCCATTTGCGGTCGGTACCTTTCAAAATGGCTTTGTTGCCGTTTTCCAAGGGCTTTGTTGCCGTTTTCCAAGGGCTTTGTTCCCGTTTTCCAAGGGCTTTGTTCCCGAATGTCTTCTAAATGGATCTTCATAGACATTTGGGGAGAACTGGGCAGTCAGCAGCAGCTGGTATGAATGAGGGACCGCCGGGTCACCTGGTTTAAAGCCCTGCTCCGGGTCATCCAGAAGGAGCGGGAAACGCTGGAAATACAGTCCAGGTCTCTGTCCACTCCACACTTCATCACTTTCTTGGACCTTTCCCGCGTATTTCATCTCTCACTTACTAACCACCTGCTGCAGATCAAGCTCACTGCCTGTGCCAGAGAGAGAGACAACCCGCCCCTGAGGAAGTCACCGTCCGAAAGGGAAGCAGGGCTGGCAGGAAATGTCAGGACAGGGAGGGGCCGTGGGTGCGCAGAGGAAAACCGCCTGGCGCTGTGGCGAGGCGGGGATGTTTCACCGAGAAAAGCTGCACGAAGGACGAGGAGGACGGGGCCAGTCTCGGGTCGTGAGGGACAGAGGAGGAGACTTTCGGGCAGGGTATAAAGGCCTGAGGATGTGAACACAGAGCCTGCGGGGACCCGCGTGTGGCCTGGCACAGAATTTGTGCAGGACTCGGGAGAGTGAGGCCAGAGGGCCTGCAGGGCCAGATGTCAAAGGACTTTGTCTGGAAAGTAGCCAGAAATTACTGGAACATGTCAGCCAGGGATTACTGACTTAGAACTGATGTTTTCAAAGATCACTGTCATGTAAGTCCAAATGCTTCTTGGCTTGTGATAGGTTAATCCTGATAAATCCATCAAAAGGTGAAGATAACATTAAGTCAAAAACTCATGCAAGACTCCTTTGTCCACTGAACATCAGTGGTTTAGCAACACATACGCTTAGAATGGCATTTGTTTATCTTCACTGCCGTGGGGCCGACTGGGAGCTGAAGCTTGTTGCTGCTGCCCAGCATCATAAGAAGCTGCTGCATAGCCAGGCGTGGTGGCGCACGCCTGTAATCCCAGCACTGAGGAGGCAGAGGCAGGAGGATTGCTGCGTGTTCGAGGCCAGCCTGAGCTACACAATGAGTTCAGGGCTAGCCTGAACTATGCAGTGAGACCCTGTCTCAAAAAAAAAAAAGAACTCACTGCATATTGCTGGCCTGGAAGAGGCAATTCAGAAATTGGAATTGAAAGGGGTGTGGGGATTTAGCTTAGTGGTGCCGTGCCTGCCTCACAAGCACAAGGTTCTGAGTTTGATCTCTGGTATGAGAGAGAGAGAGAGAGAAAGAGAGAGAGAGAGAGAGAAGGGAGAGAGGGAGGGGAAGGAAGGAAGGAAGGAGGAAGTTGGAGTTGAGTGTCTGCTTAAGGTAAATTGATTTCACATCACCACGAAGTCAGATCATCGTAAGGAGAACCATCTCAAGTAGGAACCATCTATCTGTATAGGAGATGAATCAAGAACAAAGTGAAATAGTTTTTTTTTTTTAATTGTCCAAATTAACTCATTACAGTTAACAAGATCAGGGTGTTTTACTTAATGAAGTCAATGCCATTATCTGAAATGAAAACTAATAAAGATAGGCCCCAGCACTTTTTTATTTTTTTATTTTGAGACAAAGTCTTACTGAGTTGCCCCACCTTGGCTTGAACTTGCAATCCTCTTGCCTCAGCCTCCCGTTACAGGTACACACGACCATGCGGAATTTAAAGATAGGTCTTGTCATATGCCAGGCACTATTCTCCACACTAAAATGTATGAGCTCATTATGTCTAACAACAGTCCTGTAATGTGGGTACTATTATTAATCTCTACAAATGAGTAAACCGAGCCGCAGAGAGATTAAGTAATTTGTATGCCTGTCTTCCTAGTGTCTCTCACTCAGATAACTTTTTTAGTTCAATCAAAATCATGTCATGTTAAGCATTCTGATGTAGCATGCCCTGAATATAGTTTTCCCTGACCTTGCCCTACGAAAACATTCCCATGCATTTTGTTCCAGTAATCCTGTGCTATTTTAGTAGTTCATCAACCTCGGCTCTCTCATGCCCCTGTGCCTTTATACACACGGTTCTTTCTGTTCACTCTACCCTTAGAAAAATTTTATTTTTTTTTTTCAAGGTTCAGTCAGGTGTCACCCTTGCCACTCTTAGCCACTCACCCCTTATCCTTTGAAGGCTTTCTTTACTTCCTAACTTCCGTGGATGTAAGGACCGAAGTTTTTTAGGCTTTTTTTTTGTACTGGGGATCGAACTCAGGACCTTGCACTTATGAGGCAGGCAACAGCACCCCTGGCCCAGGGATTTAGCTTAGTGGCGCTGCACCAGCCTCACAAGTGCAACGTCCTGAGTTCAATTCCCGATTCCACAAAAAAAAAAAAAAAAAAAAAAAAACAGAACTCATTGGTTGGCAGATACAGCATTGCTTCCTTCCTCTTTCAGGTCCTCACAAAGGATTCAGTGACGATCAGCGTGGATGGTGTGGTCTATTACCGCGTTCAGAATGCAACCCTGGCAGTGGCAAATATCACCAATGCAGACTCAGCCACTCGTCTTCTGGCACAAACTACTCTCAGGAATGTTCTGGGCACCAAGAACCTTTCCCAGATCCTCTCTGACAGGGAAGAGATTGCGCACAACATGCAGGTAAGGGAATCACGAAACCGAGAGTCCGTGATCGTTGGAGAGCGATTTATCAATTCAAGCTGGGGGTCTCCGGCCTGTGTTTCTTCTTAGATTCTCCAGACTTGAGGCAAAGAGCAGCTGTTACCCTGACTGCTCATGGGTTCATGGCCCTCAGATGCATGTTATTTTCCTCCACTGTTTATTTTTTCCCACAGTCAGTATGAGCCTTTTTGTTTGGCCTGATAGTTCAGAGGTTGTTCTGTAAGTCTGCTGCTATTATCCAAGCCTTATTCTGTGTGAGAGTCCCATGAATTCTCTCCTGACTGCTGTGCTTTCCAGTCTTGCTTCAGTAGTAGGTATTAAGCCTGCTGTGTTCATAAAAATAAAGCGCTGTAAGTCTGAATTCTTACTCTCAGTAAAATCTCATTGTAAAATCTATAGTCTTTTGCACCACAAGCTCATGAAATAGAATGATTTCATTCCTGCGCTTGTAAGGAGGAGAATGAAACCCAAAGAAACAACACGGGGCCGAGGATTTAGCTCAGTGGTGCCTCCACCTGCCTCACAGGTGCAAGGCCCTGAGTTCGATCCCCAGTACCAAACAAAACAAAAAACAAAGGAGCAACATGCCTTGCACAGCATCGCCTCTCCTGGGGGGTCAGCGCGCTACAGCCCCCAGGTTGGCCATCACTTGTGTAGTAAAAGTCCACTGGTAGCCACACGTGTCATATGTACGGCCCAGGGCTGCTTTTGACCTACAGCAGCTGCGATGGAGACTGTGCGTGAACGACTCCGGTGTGGCCCTTTTAGAAGTTTGCCATCAGCCTCTAGGAAAATTCAGGACGGGTTCCCTGGCAACTCCCGCCTGTCTCTCTGCCGCCCTCCTCCAGCCCTTTCTCCGCTCCACACCCCGCCCACTGCAGCCTCCACAACCATCTGTGTGGGAGCTGACGAGGCTTTGCTTGCCTTCTGTCCCCTAACAGTGCACTCTGGATGATGCCACCGACGACTGGGGAATAAAGGTGGAGCGAGTGGAAATTAAGGATGTGAAGCTCCCCACACAGCTCCAGAGAGCTATGGCCGCAGAGGCAGAAGCATCCCGGGAGGCCCGAGCCAAGGTAATATTTTCTCTTTGTTTGTTTTCAGTTGTTTTTCTCATTGAGTTTTCATTTTTAATTCCACAAAGCTCACTGAAAAGAATCTGAAGTGTTTAGTAAAGACGAACGCTCTCCCCTTCACTCTGAGTCTGCTCCCCCAGAGGCCACCCTCTTAACAGTTTTGATTTGTTTCTGTTTTTGCTTTTTCCTTTTTGAGACAGAGTCTCCTGGGTAGTTCAGGCTGGCCTTGAACTCATGGGGATCCTCCTGCCTCAGTCTCCCGAGTGCCAGGATTATAGGCGTGTACCACCACGCCCAGCACTCTTAAGAGTCTATTGTATTTGAATTTTATTTGATTAGGTTGTTGGACATTTGGCTTGTTTTATGAAAATAACACCAGGCTGACATATTGTTGTGCACCTTACCCATGGACATAGCTCTGAGGACATATTTGTTAAGCTAATTTAGAAAAGAAGGTGGAAGTAGTGGCGTGAACCTGTAATCCCAGCACTTGGGAGGCTGATGCAGGAGGATTGCCATGAGTTTGAGGCCAGGCTGGGCTACATAGTGAGTTCAAGGCCAACCTGAACTATATAGTAAGACTGTCAGAAAAGAAAAGGAAAGAGAGGGCCAGGGATTTAGCTCAGTGGTTCTGCCGCCAAGCACAAGGACCCGAGTTTGATCTCCAGTGCCTAAAAAACAGAAAAAGAAAAGAAAAGAGAAGAGCATCTTTTAAGATGATTGTGTAAAGAAATACAGGGTTTTCTCACCAAACTGAAGAATGGGCAGTAGACTCAAGCCTCACCAGAACTGGACAGAGGGGCTGAGAGCAGGGCTGAAGGGACCTCACTCCCTTTCCTGGGCCAGGGCCAGTTGCAGGTAGTTTGCAGTGGATGATGCTTGACTCCAGGTTCACACACTGTATCAGGGAGCACTAGAGACGGGGACCAGCCCTAATCCCACACTCACTGAGAAGAGCCCAACTCTGGTTCAAGGGTAAAGTCCAATACTCCTACACCCCCAACCCTGTGACAGCTGGAGGAAGAGGATATCTGTGTGTGTGTGTGTGTGTGTGTGTGCGCGCGTGTGCACGTGTGTGTGACTGGGGATTAAACACAGGGCCTTTGCACTGAGCTACATTCCCAGTCCTTTTTTTTTTTTTTTTTTTCCTTTTTGAGATGTGGTTTCAGTCAATTGCCCAGGCTGGACCCAAACTTACCATCCTCTTGCCTCAGCCTCCCAGGTCCTGGGATTACAGGCATGCACCATCACACCCAACAGAAGAGATTTCTTGGGAAGGATTGCGGGAGACTTGGCAGATCTCCCAAACAAAGAACGAACCAATTTATCATTGTTAGAAAAGAGTAGTAACTGGTGATAATTGGCTGACCACAGAACCCTGTCCTTCTCTTAGGATGCTCTTTAAGCCACCAATTGAGTATAATTTCTTAACACCAAGGAGAAGAGCAGCCCATCGGACATGCTGCCTCCAGAATCTTATTTTTTATTTATTTATTATTTGTTTTGTTTTGTTTTGTTTTGTTTTGAGACAGGGTCTCACCATGTAGTTGAGACTGTCCTAGAACTCACTATGTATCCCTGGCTGGTCTCAAACTCATAGTGATCCTCCTGCCTCAGCCTCCCGAGTGCTGGGATTACAGGCGTGTGACACCACTCCCGGCCAGAATCTTATTAACCAGAACTTTAAATTGTCCTAATACAATCATTGATGACAACTATGATGCTACAGAATCCTCAAGTGCCTTCTTTCAAAATCATCATTTTGGAAGACTATTACATTTATGATAACGTTAGCAAATGTTCCCTCTTATCATCTAGTTATTTTAGAAAATTAGAAATTTCTTTTACCTAGAATATGTCAACCAAAAGCCTCATTTCTACCCAGGCATAGACTAGCAGAGTGTGAAGTATCCTCAGAGATTGTCTTCCAAAGGTGATGAATACCTCATCTAGCTGCACTGCACCCTCCCCACCAGCACCATGTGCCCTCCAACTTAGACCTGATCTCAGAACCAGTCCTTTTTGGAACTCCAGGAAGTGTGGAGGTATCCCTAGCGATGGAACTTGTTTGCCATCCCACTGGCCAAGTAAAAAACTGAAGCCCAAGCCGGACATGGGGTGCACACCTGTAATCCCAGCACTCATGAGGCTGAAGCAGGAGGATCTCTGTGAGTTTGAGACCAGCCTGGGCTACATAGTGAGTTCCAGGCCAATCTCAACTACATAGTGAGACAGTGGTTCCGGTGCCTGCCTTGCAAGCACAAGGACCCGAGTTTGATCCCTAGTACCAAAAACAAACAAACAAAAACAAAACAAAAAACCAAAGCCTAGAAAAATTAAGTGATTCCCTCAAGGTCACTCTGTTGATCAATGGCAATGGAAGTGAGAATTCTGCTCTACTTCTCCTGCCTTTTCTGAACTTCCAGGGTGGTCTGAGCCTTCTTCACGGCACACCAATTTAGAGAGAAATTTCCTATGTTCCCTTTATAACAAGAAAAGGTCAGGAAGTCTGTTAGAATTTTGGTTACCATGTTGTTACTTGGATAAGGCTATAAGGTTAATCTGACAGCTATTTCATGAACCTTGAACTAATTATCTTCAAGGTTAATGTTTACACAATGAGTCAAACACTGTAAAAAACAGTAACCCTACTACAACCGTAGGCTTATTTCAGGTTCACTTGGAAAACATGGGAGTTATAGTTTCTCATAGTTTCTTGAGCAAATTTCAGAGGAACACAGAGATTGGTTGTGAGAGCCTATACATTAAGAGCCTTCAGAGAAAAATACCTTAGGTAGTCACAGGTAAATTAAAATTCAAATTACAGCAGATGCAACCTTAGTGTCTTAGTTATTTTTCTCATTACTGGAACAAAATACCTGATACCCACAAGTTAAAGAAGGAAAGATTTATTTTGGCTTACAGTTTATAGAGGTTTTCAGCCCATAGTCTGCTGGCTCCAAGGCAGGGTGGCATGGCAGAGGGGGGCATTGCAGAGAAGAAAGTATTCATGGCACAGCAGGCAGAAGGCAGTGAGGTAGAGAAGCAGCAGCATCAAGCCTCCCTTTCCCTTTTATTTCATCCAGGCTACAGGCCTATTGGTTGGTGCCACCCACATCTTCCCATTAGCCCTTCCCATTATCCACACCAGCACTATGCTAACCCAATCAGTGGATTAATTTAATATCACACCCTTAATTCATATTCACACACCCTAGATCCAACCACTTCCAAAAAGTCTTACCATATAAGCACATGACTCTTTGAGGTGACATCTAGATACAAACCATAACATCAAAGATATCCACCTGGGCTGGGTCTTTAGCTCAGTGGTTCTGCTGCCTGCCTCGCAAGCGCAAGGTCCTGAGTTCCATCCCCAGTATGAAAGAAAGAAAGAAAGAAATCCACCAAACAGCTTGGAAAAAGAAAGATAAGAAAAGAACCAAATGTGGCTGAGGGAGGAACTAGAATGCTCCTCTCTGCTGGTGGGAGTGTACATTGGTACAACCACAGTTGGTGATAACCTGACAGCATCTATTTGCAGACCCTGTGAGCCAGTACTCCACTCCTCAACATGTATCTCATGGAAATGGGCTTATATGTCTACCAAAAGGCATGCACTAGGATGTACACAGCAGCATTTTGTAATTGCCCCAGACAGGAAACTGCCCAGGGGACCACCAGTTGAATTGATAAAGTGTGGTTTATTCACATGAAGGAATACACTGTAACAAAAAGGATGAACAAAAAACTGCTTACAAACATATGTGGAGTGAAGGAGCCTGGCACAAAAGAGGACAGGGTCTCTACACATTGGGGTGTATGTTAACCAAATGTCTTTTTAAGGTTTTTAGACCAACTCTTAATGGTTCAGATCATGAATCTTTAGTGCTTGCGTTCTCCCTTACTTCCTTTTTTCCAGCTCAGAAAAATATCTGTCATATACTTTCCAGCTCATGTTTCTGGGGCTGGTGTCCTGTTAATTGGGGGGGGGGTGGAGTGCAAAATCGGAAAGTATCACCTTTCTCTGCCTTTTCCTCTCACCAGCCACATGTTCTCCAGAGGACAGGAAGTGACAATCTCACACATGTATAAAGGTTGTATTTTAGAATGGTGATCTGTGGGGCTTGGGGGTGTAGCTCAGTGGCAGAGCACTTGCCCAGTCTGCATGAGGCCCTCAGTTTATTCCCCAAAACCACAAGTAAAATTGAATAAAAGAAACTCTTGTGAATATAAAGCATTGATTGACATGGAATTACCACATATTTAGGAAAAAAAAAAAAAGCCCCACACATTCACAAGTAGCTTTGCTCTCTAAGATGCTATCTGCAGTGTGTACTTGGCCATATCTGGATAAAACCTGTGGTATTGTGCCTACATCTTTGGCATCTTTTCTATGAACAATCTGTGTGCCCAACCTGGTGGGTTTGGCTTCCTGGCTAAGAGATTGTGTGTTGATTGGTGGTAGGAAGTGAGATATCTCTGGTGTTGGTCCACATCCAGACAAAAAAAGTATCTAACTGGACATTTGAGATGACATGGAAAAAAATCAGAGCCTGCTGTCCCCATAGCAGGGGTTTATGTACGAATTCTCTCGTGCTTGCCTTGGAATATGGTCATGTGGTTTTCTGTGAGGGTGTTTGGCATTGCCCCTTCGCGTAGACCAAGATAGGAGGACATAATGGTTTGCCTTGATGAGTTAGTCTTTATCCTATAAACCAGTAAGTACCATATCCTGTGTCCCTCGGCTCCATTAATGCCATTACCCATCCAACCAAAATCTAGAAGAGTCATACCAGGCAAGAGTCAAATGCTGTTGACTCTCCCCCTAAAATAGTGCCCCATCCATTTTGTCCTCACTCCCACCACCAGTGAGTGCAGCTGGCCTTTGTGAAACAGTCCCACAACAGCTCCCAGTCTCTCTTCTATCCCCAAACATCCCTCACTGTTTTCTCAAACTAGATCTGGTGAGGTTACTTACTGCTCAAAACTGACCCGTGGCTGCCTGTTCTGTACAGAACAAAAATCAGAGGCTGTGGGCATTCCCTGTCCTTCAGACCCTGCCCTCACTCCACACTACCTTCTCCCCCTTGCCCGCCCAGTATTCAGACACTAACAGCTTTCTGGACTACAACAGCTTTCTTATACCTCAGTTCTATTTCCCATGTTCTGCCTAATTTGTTCTTCCTCAACTTTATCTAAACAGCCAGTCTTTCATTCTCCGAGATTCACCTTCTGTAACCTCACCACCTGACCCTCTGTAAAACTGCCGGCCTCTCATGCTTGCACTGCGCCCTGCACATATTTCTGTCAACATTCATCACACTGAGGTCCCAGGTCTGGCCCCACTACTAAAAGGAGCCAAGGAGGCCATGGGTTCCGTTCTCTCTCCACAGCTTCTCCACAGGGCTTCTTTATACCCAGAGGCCCCCAGAGTTTGCTGTATATGTGAACAGAATCTCCTTGGGCATAAGGCCATTGCTGCCAATTCTGATATTCACAAGTATTTTATGAACCATTCATATCTTGAGGTCCATTATGAGGGCCACCTAGTGAAAGTGCAATTTTAGTCTAAATAATTGGGATAGCTTTGAAGCTTCTCTTCTTCTGGGATTATAAATTAAAAGTAACTGTCTTGATTTAGCTTCTAAATCTTTTGTGCATCAAAGGGTAGTCGTATTCAAAACTCAGGTCTTGGGCTGGGGATTTAGCTCAGTGGTGCCGCACCTGCCTGGCAAGCGCAAGGTCCTGTGTTTGATTCCTGGTACCAGAAAACAAAACAAAACACGCAGGTCTTGATAGCACATGCCATTCCTGTCACTCAGCATTTTTGATACCTTTTCTGTCTTCCTCACAGTGGTCCTGTTAAGTAAGTTTTGTCCCATTTTGAGAATACAAAATGAACATTCTGATGTAAAATAACCACTCTGACAACATTTGGTTAGACTTAGATTTGGGATTTGAGCTGTCATCTATTTAACTCCCTGACCTCTACCACTCCAGTAATCTTTGAACTTTTTGCCTGTGTAACCCCTTATAGAATTTGTAAAATATCCCATCATACATTTTAAATTGGCATGTAGAAATCTTGGCGATATATACGTACTAAGCATATAATTTCTGGCATGTTGAAAATATTGACATCTTAAATGAAACTGATAACATTGCTCTTTTAAATATGTCCAGTATAAGTTAAATAATACAGTGACATATGTGTCCATTTAAAAATATGTCAGCTCAGGGGCCTGGGGATTTAGCTCAGTGGTTCTGGCGCCTGCCTTGCAAATGCAAGGACCCAAGTTCAATCCCTGGAAAAAAAAAAAAAAAAAAAAGGCTTAGGTTTTTAAAAATGCATGAATAAATAAAAATAAAAATATGTCAGCTCTTTTTTTTAGCAATCCTGAATATTTCATTGTTCTTTTTTCTTCCTGTAGTTATATTTCCCTTTCACCCCTTACCCACAGGTCCTTTTCCTAATACAATTTGTCATGAATTATTTTATTACCCTACTGGATCATGTTTAGTATATAAGTCAGAATTATGTAAAATTCCTCATGACTGTAAACAAGGCAGATGTTTTTAGAATTTCTCTTCATAACGAATGAGTTTTTACTAGAAATGCTGCTGAATGCAGTAAATGAGGGATTTACATCGGTCGTAGATGTGTAGATGGCTATTACTTATCATTAGAATGAGACAAGATTAGTATCCATTTTCGTTCTGCTTTCCATTTTTTATAGACAAGAGAACTAAGAAACCTTAACATAAAGAAGTTGACTGGGGGGGGATTTGGCTCAGTGGTTCCGCTGCCTACCTTGCAAGCACAAGGGTCTAAGTTTGATCCCCGGTACCAAAAAAAAAAAAAAAAAAAAAAAAAAAAAAAAAAAGAAGAAGAAGAAGAAGTTGATGGAGGTAGTTTTATTTAAAGTCACACTTCTTAGCACTCTCTTTGAATTTGTAGGCTGAAAGGCCATGTATCAATCTTTTATCAAAATATAATTTTAATGATCCATCAGCTTTCATTTCAATAAGATCCTCTTTCCTTTCTTTGAAATCAAAGAATTAGAATTGCTTCTTGGCCTTTTGGCTAAGATCAAGGTGAAATCAAAGAATTAGAAATCCACATGACCTGCAGAAAGATTTGTGTGAAGTCATTGAAGCCATTGCCTTCCTCAAGCCCTACACAGTACTGTGACTTGTCCCTTGGTTTGATACCCTGGAAAATGAGAGAAAGGGGATCATGAAAAAAGGATATCATGAGCTAGGCACAATCTAGCAGCTGATTTCCTTAAACCTGCTCTTCCATACTCCCTGGGAAGTTTCCCATGCTACGTACAGCACACACCTACCTGTTTGAAGATTATTGCTTATCATCCTGAGGCTTCTCCAGTCTGACCTCTCCATTCCCCTGCCCACAGGTTATTGCTGCCGAGGGAGAAATGAATGCATCCAGAGCTCTGAAAGAAGCCTCCATGGTTATCACCGAGTCTCCGGCAGCCCTTCAGCTTCGGTATCTTCAGACACTGACCACCATTGCTGCCGAGAAAAACTCCACAATTGTCTTCCCTCTGCCCATAGATATGCTGCAAGGCATCATGGCGGCAAAACACTGAGCCATGTAGGCCAGCGCTGAGATGAGCTACACATGTCCCAGGATGGAGTAGGGGACCACATTAGCCTTAGCTCACCAGGAGAGAGTAGGGCAGGGAACCTTGAATACCCTCCCTCCCTCCCTGGCCTTTTCTGTATGTTGAGGTTCTTAGAGTGTGTAGTGATCATAGAAACAGTGGAAGGGATTGTTGGCTTGTAAATACTGAGAGAAAGAGCAAGATTGGTGATTTATATATAAGATAATCTCCCACTCTTTAAGATACTTAAGGGTTTGTATTTTAGATCATCCTGTAATAGGTTAAACCTCTCTTCTTTTGACTTCCATTGAGTCATCCCGAACCCACTATCAGCTGCTAGAACAGAGGCAAAAACACAGGCTAACACTGCCACCTGTCCCCTTGTGCTACAGCCAGCTTCTCTGGGCCACCTGTGCCTTACTTCCAGGGAGTCTTAATTTCCCTGGTGTCCACCTGCTTTATAAACCCAGACCTCACAGGGTAGGAGGCCTCTTCTTGCTGTACCTATCAAACTAGAAGAGATGGTCAGGATCAATGAAAAAGATTACCTTAACCCTTTGGTGACTTTAAATTCACCATTGAGGTGGTCCTTCTGAAAATAATAGATGCATTTTTTGTGACTCCTTTGAGCCTCCTTCAGGAGGAAAAGACTCCTCCGTGGTGTGTCTTTCAAACCAGCTAAGTACTTACTACAAAAGTGCTTCTTCTCACTTTTGCCTATTTTCATATATCAGGTTGTGAATAGTTTTGGCTTTTTAATAAAAATTTCTCTACATTCTATAAACAGACCCATGTGAATAGCTCATGGATCAAAAGACTTTTTTAAAAAAAAAATCTCCAAAAAACCATTACATTTTACTGTCTGCATGCTGTTAACTACTGTACACTGGGAAAAACCCTGCTTTCCGATCCCGCTCATGAGGTGGCATAACAAATATATTCGGCCCGTTATATCAAAGGGTGGTGGGCAACACTGTCAAACTTAGGGTACATATGGGAGATGTAGAACTTGTAGTTTGCCTCCTTGTTCTTTTTCTCCTGTATCTGTTGATACTCAAGAAGGAACTGGCCGCCCTGTTGGGCCATATTTTCTTCTGTAATGTCAGGAAGCACCTTGCATTGCACATGGTTATGAACTGGTACAACCTGACACTCTTTCTACTGGCCCGGAAAGCTGGTCGTTGACATTTACGACACATCCTCTTTGAGGCTCTCGGTTTACCTGGAGAAATCTAAAAATACAGCTTTTCTTCCCCAGCACCTGTCTTGCTCTCAGCCCTTAGCTGAATCACTCTGTCAAGCCCAGCCCCTAATGTCCCTTTCACTACATTCCACGTCCGAGCTTATTTTAGAAAGCCTCGAACCACCTCCTGTCCGTGTTCCTGAGTGGATTAGAGACCAATGGACTGTTTCAGCTCAGGGCTCAAGTTACATTTGCATTTTGAATTTTTAAATGATGGCTTTCTCTGTTGCCCCTTGACCTCTGAGGACCAGGAAACTCCATGCCCTGGTGAAAATCTCTCCTCAGATGTAGCATGACAGTGCTTCTGGTTCCCTGAGTTTCCCTCTCTCCAGATACTGAATGACCTTCCTTTTGCTGCTGTATGAATTCATAGGCTACAGTTAAATCACTTGGGAGGGAAAAGCATGGAAGGAGCCCGGGCTGAGAGCACTAGTGCAAGAGTGTTTCCGGTGACACCCGCTTCCGATAATGTGCATAATAAAGTGTGTGCGCTTCAGTTTTCTCTGGGTGCGAGTCTGTTTCTGCCTGCACTAGCCTATGTGGATTTCATTTTCAGAAGGGTCACATCAGATCATCCAGTCCCAGGCTGACTGCCTTGGGCCCACCACACACACACACACACACACACCTCGCCTGTACTATGGGATTATAGTCCATCTCTGTGTGCCTCACACCTTTTGAGAATGTGTTGGAAGCCACAGGGTACTTTGACAAGTGCACACCAGCGCCGGCACACACAAATTGGGAAACACTGTGCCTATCCAGACCTCAAAACCACTAGGCCAGATCATCTCTAAGATCCTAACTTCTAAGTCATATAGTTACCTGAAACCTCTTTACTTTGTGAGAACTAAGAAGGCTGAACAAACCCGAACTTACTGTGGGCCAAGCACGGGCAAGGCTTCGTCTTTCTTTTCCATTCATGATCCCCTGTGGCTGTGTTGCTTACTTAGGCCATGGGGACTCCATGGATGCCTTGAGGTTTTCAGTGACTGTTAAAATAATGTCAGTGACATCAAGTCTACAGCAGATCCAGGACAGGATTTGCCTAAAGGAGGCATTTTCGCTAGTAGGATGCAGCCCTTGCCAATCCATCCTATAGCCAGACAAGTTCAGTGAAAGAGGAAAATGAAACCACTGCTAATTTTAGGTTTTAGGCTGGGCCTGTCTGTAATCCCTGTTACTCTGGAGGCCAAATTCAAGGCAAGCCTAGGCAATTTGTCATGACTCTTGTCTCAAAATAAAATAAAAAAGGCTGGGAGTGCAGCTCAGTGGTAGAGTGTTTGTCTATTATAGGCAAGGCCTGGGTTCAATATCCAGCACAGGAAAAAAAAAAAAAAAAAAATTTAAAAAAAAAAAAAAAAAAAAAGATGGGAGGAGGAAGAAAGGAAGGAAGGGAGAAGGAAGGAAGGAAGGAAAGTTTTAGGGTGTAGCTCAGTGGTAGTGTTACTGGGCTTTGGGGTGCTGGAGTCTCCTAGTGGTGGTTTCTAGGTTCTTTCTGGCCTGAACAAAAAACTGGTCAGGACAAGCACAAAAGGCAGCAAGGTTTTGCACTTATTAAAGGTAAGAAAAGAAATATGTTCTGCAAAGCAACTTTGGGCCAAGTAAAAGCAGGAGAAGCAGTACACCCTACAACACCAGAGCAGGCTACCCAGAAAGAACACGGTAGTAGATTGTTCAGTGCTGACTGTCCTTTTTGTATCTCCCACTCCTCAGGCCAACGTCAGCCTAGGCCACTGGATTCAAAACTGTGTAAATTCTTGGGAGAAGTCCACATGCAGGGCTTTGGGAACTGTCCTGCTCACATGCTCTGGAATTCGATAATTACCATGTCATGCCTACTTCCCCAGCCAGCCCGCCACACCCTAATATCTTGCCTCATTAATACTGTATTACTATAGCACCTAGCCACAGGTGCTGTAATGTAGTGGGTTTCGGAGAGAGGCCTGAGTTTGAATTTTAGCCCCACCCTATTTGCAATGTGATCTTGAGCTCTTCATAGTTTCCTTAGCTGCAAGATGAGAATAAGAACAGTGTCTACCCATAAGAATGAGAATATCTGTGAAGATTGTAAGATGCACTGCTTAACACAATGTATAGCCCATAGTAGCTTAAAGACAAAACAGACAAACTTCTAACATATCTAGATCCCTTGTGGTGGTCAGACAGGCTGTGTTTGGCTGTAAGCAATTCAGAACCAAGTCAAACCAAATTAAACCATGACCCTGTGTTCTCAAAATGAAACAGTTGATTCTGTATAACTGGAGCTTGAGGTTTCCCAAAAATCAAAGAATGAAGTCACAAACCCAAAGGAGAAAGTTAGGCAAGTTTTTATTAGAAATGAGAAGAAAAAAGGCTCCTGGTTTCTCCAGGAGGTGAATCCAAAAGGTGCAATTCCCACTTGGTTCCTTAATCCAGAACTGTTTATGGATAAGCAGACCGTGCAAATGAATTGCTCAGTTATTTAGCGCAGTTATCACAGGTGGCTTAGATTTTAAAATGACCAGTTAGAATCCAGTCTCTCTAACCTAGTTTCTCAGCTTGTAGGGTTGAAAGGAAACTGGGATTTTAAAGAAAACTGGTTATTTTGCATTTTAAATTCCTGGAAACTCAGGAATGTAGTAGGGAGTGGCTTTGGTAGAGAGAAGGCTGCATTCCATGTTGTGGAGGAAAAATATTCTTGGTCCAAAGTCCTAGTTCACTGTCTCTCTCAGGCCTTATTCGTAGCTAGCTGCTTTACCCATATGCTAACTAAATAAACTATTTTTTACAATAAGTGTGAGTCCAGAGTCCATAAATCTAGAAGAGAGAAAGGAGACCATCCCTCCGTATGGAATTTGTTAGGAAACTATGGGTTACCTGTGTTAGGAAACTATGGGTTAACTAGGTAACTATGCTCTTTGAAGAACGCACTTGAGTAGCCATGAGGACACTTCTGTAATCTGTCACCAAAGGAGCATAACGACTCAAATTCCTGCCAGAATTCTTAAAAGAGCCCCTGCCCACACACACAGACACACCCACTGCTCTGCTTTGTGTAAATCCTGCTTGCTCTATTCCCAGGGAAACTTCAGTGAAAGTAAGCCTCGTGGATGTAAAAAGAGGTATAAAAAGAAGAACAAACTTCTATTCGGAGCTCTCAAGACTGACAGGAGTCACTCACTGAGCCGCCAGCATTAAAAGCCATTTTTTGCTTCTATGTAGAGTGGTCTGTCCGGGCTTCTCACAGTTTCCTACTTCAGAAGGAGACTCCAGCAGCCAAAACTCAGTAACATTTGCAAGTTTGCAAGTGGAGAACTTGAGGCTCAGGGAACTTTTCTCTGTGTGTCTGTGTGTGTGTACACGTGTGTGTGTGTGTGTGTGCTGGGGTTGAACTTAGAGCTCACTCATGCTAAGTGTGCATTCTACCACTGAGCTGCACTGCCAGTAACTATCTGTTGAACTGAATTACTCAAGATTCAACCCAGCGTGCAAGCCCTAGTGGATTTTTTTCTCAGAAATGTCACCTTGGCACAGTCCCGATATTTCACAACAACTTCTCCATTGTGACTCCCTGTGTCTAAAATTGCAGGAAGAGAAAATGTGGTTGAGGTGAAACTTCCTGATTTGGTTTCACCTGCAGAGAAAATGGGAAGTCGGAGCAATTCATTTGCCCCAGGCTGTTTCCTTTCTCCGTGTATGAAGAGGTCTCAGCCACACCCTTCCATGCCAATGAAGACCAAAAGAATTCCGGGCAGGTTCTCCCACAGTCCCAGGAAGTCAGCAGAAGTAGGCAGACTGCCTATGCAGGCCTTCACTTGCCTCTAACGAAGGCCCCAGAAGCTTCTCTGGGACTTTACACTTGTCGAGCTAACAAATTTTCACTGCTTGTGGGTACAGGCAAGGCAACGGTTACAACATCAAGTCCAAATCCCTTAGAACATGACATGAGGCCCCAGCCCACCAGCCAGCCAGCTTGGAGTTCTCTCTCTCCACCTTGTGCTGCAGCCACACAGGGCTTTCTGTCCTCGTCCGCCCTCACTGCTTCCTGCCTTCGTACCTGCTACACCCTCTGTCTGAGATGACTTGCCTTCCTCACGTCCCAATGCTTCACCCGGAAAATTCCTTTGTCACTGCCCTCGTCACCTCTGCGTTGAATCAGAATCTCTAGAGGTACAGTTCCTGGAGACTCACGCTTTTAAAAAGGTCCCCAGATAATCTCAGGACTCAACTAGCTTTAGAAATGACAATGTAAACACACACACACACACACACACACGCACACACACTCACACATGCACACACTCATAAACCTCACATTGGCCTCGATTCTTCTACAGTCCTACATCTGGCAGCCTCCTTCCAAAACTTGGACAGGGACAGGGGAAGTGCCGTGGAACAAGAGGAGGAGGATGCAGTGAGAAGGAAGGAGGGCGGGGATGGGATCTGGGCTCCAGTCGGTTCCTGAGCTGGTTTGGGTCCCCCTTGGAGAAGCAGTTCATGGAAATGTCCAAGAGGGACTTCTGAGAAGTCCATGAGAAGAAGCAAAGTTTCAGGCCCAGGGGACCACACGGGACACCTAGGAGTCCTTCTTCTACTCCCTGAAGACTACGAACTGGATGCACCCGGGGGCAGCTCTTGCGATGGCAACTGCAGCAGGAAAGGTTTCTCTAAGCAGCTGTGGGCATGTTCCGGCCTGGGTTAAGATGTCCCTCCAAAGCCTCAAGCTTTTTCAGAGGTGGCTGAATCTAGAGTGTGTGATCTTCATTGTGGGGTTATGCCTGAGGGCACTAGGACTAAGGGCATGAGTGCTGCCCACCCTAAGTAGTTTGGATAAGATAAAAGCAGCAGAAAGACGCTGTTAAGTTTCCCTTGTTGCTTTCGCTACTGTGTGGGCCCCATGAACTGTTTCTCTTCTGCGATGCCCCTCTGCCATAGGCCACCCTGCCTTGGAGCCAGCCGATTATGGACTGAAAGCTCTACAAACCGTGAGCTAAATAAATCTTTTCCCCTTTAACTCTGAGTGTTGGGTATTTTGTCTCAGCAATGAGAGAAAAGCAACTAACATAGGGCAGTAGAATTAAGCTGTAGGAACCAGAGGTAGAGAAGAAGGGCGAGGCAGATGTCACAGGATGTGACAGCTGTGACAACACACCTTGCCCACTTTCTACTACGGGAAATGTAATTAAGGGCCCCACCTGCTGGCTTCAAGGCCACGCCTCCCAACAACCGGCAGAGGGGAAGTGAGGCACACCTGCTCTCGGAAGACACATGACTCTTCTGGCTGACTTTGACTCTGTTTCGGAAAACTGAACGGGACAGATAATGGTAACTGATATTCACAGGATTATGCATGACAGCAAAGAGCGCAGACAACCCAGACGTTCACTGTGGGATGAGTGGCTAGATAGGATGAAGGGTGCACATATGGTGGAGGACTACTCGGCCACAGAAAGGGATGAAATGTTGATTTATGCTACAACACAGATGAATCCTGCAAATGTTATTCTCTGTGGAACAAGCCAGGCTCTGCTTGTACGTGGTACCTAGAATACGCAGATTCATAGAGACAGAAAGTGCACCAGCGATTTCCCAGGACTGGGAGGGCAGAAAATGAAGGTTATCATTTAATGCAGACAGTACTTATGTCAAAAATTCCGGAAGAAGTTTGGGTGTAGGTTGCGGTGAAGGATTCACTGCCAGGCAGATCACGACAATGAATTGTACATACACTTACAATTGATTCAAATGACAAATACTCTTGCTGCAATAAAAAGAAAAAAATAGGAACATACTACTGAATCTAAAAATGCTTTGTCTATGGGGCAGGACTTCCCGAAAGCTTTGCCAAACTTTCCTGGGCCAAAGGCCATGTGGGGCCCTTCTGTCCAGCCTTCTCTTCTCTTCTTCATTTAGGTCAGACTGGTATCCTGGTCCGATGGCTCTCCCAGCCTTCCCAGCAACACGTGCCCTGGATGATCGGTGCACATCTCTCCTCACCCTGGCCTCTGCTTCTCAGATGACCAGGATTAACACGCAGGTGCATGCAGCTCAGCTACTGGTTCACAGGCACGTGCAAGGACCCGGCCTGGGGATCTCAGAATTCCCAGGGACAAAGGCGAGGTGGAGACTGGGTGCCACCATGAGTCAGGTGGGTAGGAGCTAGCAGGGACCAACACAGCTAAGCTACACCAGGCCGACACACTTCAAAAAGCTTTTATTAAATTTAATTTCCAAAGCACAGATATTTGAGACAAGTTTGCAAGGACCCTGAATTTTGGCAGGGCTGTTTTTGGCTACTATAACACACACACACACACACACACACACACACACACACACACACACACACACACACACGCTCATGCACCAGAGTTGCCCTGCTCACCATAAGGTCTCTGTGGGAGATGGACAGTTCTCCAAGGCACGGGTGGGTGGCAATGGCGGGCCTTGCCCTTCCTCAGGCAGCCAGCTCAGCCAGGGCCCTGTCCAAGGGGTCCACAGACCAGTAGTCGTCATCCCAGCCAAGGAACCAGCCCACGAAAGAAGGAGGCTCAAAGCCTTGCTTCACCACGGTGATGGGGGTCCGCCTGTCCCGATTAGCTGGGTCCGTCTCAATGTACCGCTTAGCTGTGCACACACACGGAGGGAAGGAAACCTGAGTCTCAGTGCCTCCCACAGCAGGGAGAAGGTGGGTCAGGACAGGGATTGCCAATGATGTTTTTGTTTTGGTTTGGTTTTGGTTTTTTTGAGACAGGGTCTCACTACATAGTTGGGACTGACCTGGAACTCACTATGTAGCCCAGGCTGGTCCCAACTCACAGCAATCCTACTGCCTTAGCCTCCTGAGTGCTGGGATTACAGGTGTGTGCCACCACGCCCGGCACCAATGATGGGTTTTGGTCCCATTATCTCTATTGCCTGTCCCTGTAGCAGAGACCACCATCCTTTACAGGCAGAGATACCTACCTGGGTTCTTCCCTGCGCAGGGACACAGGAACTACAGCCCACCTTCCTGCCTACAAAACTCAGCATTTCATGGAATTTACCATTTCCCCCTGGCTACTGGAAGATATTTTTAAAAATCTTCTAGGTTTTCAGGCCCTAAATCAGCTTAGTTTAGCCACCAGGGATCTGCTTTCCAACAAACCCTGGCAAGTTCAGCCTTTGGGCATCCCAGAGTGGATATGGTTTCTTATCTGGTCCTTCCTGCCTCTGTCACCCAAAGGCCTCATGGGTTAAAACCTTGGTTCCCAGGCTGGTGCTACCGGGAGGTGGTAGAAACTTTAAGAGATGGGGCCTCTTTTGGGAGGCCTCTGCCACTGGGGTATGTCCCGAAGGGGACTGTCAGGACCCTGCCCATTCCTCCCACTCTGTTTTCAACTCCTAGCCATGGGCTACCCTCTGCGTTCCCCAATGTGATGTGCTCCATCACCATGGGCCCAAATGCAACAGTCAATGGACCATGGACTGAAACCTCCAACACTAATCCAAAATGAACCTTTTCTCTTTATAAGCTGATTGTCCCGGATACTTGTGGCAGCCACGGAGGACTAACTAACATCACTCCTGGCAGGATTTCAGAGAGCTGACTATGGAGGAGGAAGTCCCCACCCCACTGACGCTAACTCCGGGACAGGGCTGGAAACTGCTCCTCCCGCCCTATAGCCAAAGACTTTGAGTCCTTACCAGAGGTCAAGGCTTCCGTCTTTTCCTCTTCTTGAGAATCCTTTCCAACCCAGACGAAGACCTGGGGGTGAGACGGGAAGTGTAAAGTGCATGAAGGACCAAGTTCACGGCTGGAGGAAGAGTGAGAAAGTATTGGGTGCTGGACAGACAGAGCTCTCGACTGACTCACAGCATCCGTAGATCACGACCGCAGGGACAAGGGGCAGCTGTCACAACACGGCGACCTTCAAACATGTTTTGTTCTCCCACCCGCCTATCTGTGCTGGCCTACAATCTCGGTTTCCACAAACCGAGGGACCAACGATGGTGGAAATGTCAGCCTGGACCTCACTCTACCTGCATGAGGTGGGGCACTGCCCTGGAGGGTCAGCTCTCATCTGCCTCCAGCTCCTTACTCCTTCACATCTCCCAGGCCAGGCTGCTTCACCCATCACCCTTGCCAACCACGTGGCGCAGGTACCAAGCTGGAGCTCCCTCTCTAAAGGTTCGCGAAGCTCATCCGCATTTGTTTGTTCAACCAGTCAGTGGCCGAACATTCTTACTCGTGCAGAAAATAGACACAGATAGTCTGCTGTGTGCCCACCTCTGCATATCTTGGGCAATGTGGGTCTAAGCTTGGAATCACAACTCCCCACCATTACTACCATTATGGTAAGTTCCGGGACACATAAAAATCTATTTGGCTCAATTTTATGTCACCTGTGACGAGAATCATAGAAAGAATTAAGTTCGTGAACCGAGGTACCACTGTACTTTTATGCATCTCTAAAATACTATTTTCAAGAGCTTTTGCCATTGATAAAATAGCACCGGACAATAAAATACCAGACTTTCTAGCTCTTCCTTTCAGCCCCTCTTAGACAGGTATCCAGTCTGTTTGGCTCCTCTTGGGATTCCCAACACTCAGCGTTCTGCCTGGAAGACAACTGTGCTGCACAAATACTGGCTGAGTGAACGAACAAACAGATGGACAAACAGACTGGACAGCCAGTGGATCGTTCAATGACAACTGCTGAATGGCTCCAGCTGCAAACATTGTGGTCCTCACCTTTGGCCTGGAGATTCCCAGAAACAGCCATGGGGTGGAAGAGAGGCTTGTTGTCCCCCTGGGAAGCCATTCTGAAACCCTGAGGACTCTTGGGGAAGGCCACTTCCTCCCTGAGAACTGGCCCTTTGAGAGTCCAGGAGGCGCACTTCCCCACTCCACGTGATGCGGGGCAGCTGATGCTCACATGTGAGAGAATCTGCTAAAGTCAGCTTTCTCTACCAGCAGACTGAAAGCAAGAGTTCACAGCTCCCCTTTCACCTAGGGAGACTGATTCGGGTCACCTAATATGGGCTTCTGTGCTGCTTTGCAGTTTCCAAGGGAACTGTGCCCAGGGACCTGGCTGGTGGGGACCATTACTTCTATTTCAGAGCTGAGCAAATGGAGGCTCAGAGAGGGAAGTGACTGGTGGTGGCAGCTCAGGAACTTTTCTGGCAACACCTGGTACTTCTTCTTCCAGCCCCGAGCCGCCAGTCTCCCACCCCTCTGGCCTTCACCCTCACCCTTTCACTCACCTGGTCCCAGGTGTCCAGGAGCATGACGTCATCAGTAGCCAGGTCTTCCTGCATGAGCTCACCGGGAACCTCTTCGATCTGGGCGGGGGTCACAGGAGTTAAAGGGAGAGCATCTGCAGCCCAGGACGGAGGCACAGAGCTGGTCCTGGCTGCACTGGTTCTTTCCTCCAGGCTGTGTCCCCAGACAGTCCCTCCCATCCCTGCTGCTCAGGGGTCCCCAGAACAGGCTCTCCAAAGCAGATATGTGTCCTCGGTGCGGACTCACCACAAAACGTCCAATCTTGTTGGAGCAGGCGAAGAGGCGAGGAGGGTGGGCGTCCATCTTCTTGTCCTTCAGCCGTGGGGATGTGCGGTAGGTGGCTTTCCCGCCCAGGGCCTCCCAGAAGCTGTCTGTTAGGGGAGGTCACGCCAGTTGCCGAGGGATGCCACCCCAATGCCCTAGGACATCTCACTAGGCCCCTGGGCAAACCAACTGTTTGTCATCCCCACCTCCAGTTTAACATTCCAGGAGATCGAGAGGGAAGGGGCTTGAGGGAATTTGAAGATGACAAAAGGGAGGCCCAGACAGGGTAGACTTGGGCAGAAGACAGAAAGCCAGGATAACAGCCCTGCAGGATGGGTATAATTATCCCCACCCAACAAATGAAGTATCCGAGGCTCAGAGAGGTTAAGCAAATCACTCAAAGTCACACAGTTAGTATACAAATCTTTTCTGACTCCAATCTTCACATTCTTTCCCCTGTACCTCCTCTACCTGTTCTGTCCACAGGTAGCCATTTAAATTTGAACATGACTAAATATTGGGCTCTCATTCCCGCCAGTCACATTTCAAGGGCTTGGTGCCATCAACTTGCAGCTGGTAAATCTAGAACACGTCTGCTCTCACGGAAGTTTCTACCAAGCACAGCTACTGCAGAACCCCTGGCTTCCCCAAATTCCTACACCAAGCAGGAAGGAGTAGGCAAGAAGCACCAGCAGGAAAGAAGAGGGCAGGATGGTGGCGTTTGCGGCCAAGCAGATTCTAAAGATGAGGACAGACAACCGCCCCTCCAATGCCGTCATCACGCCTGCTATGGTCCCTCAAGGTTAGGTCCTGGCAAGTGACCGCTCCCCCAGCACCCTCCCCAGAACCTGAGACCACCTTCCTCGGGCCACTTAGCACACACAAAGGCCCAGGGCACGGTAAGGAGATGGAGCCCTGGGGCAGGCAGACGGGGGAGGCTGGCGGCCTGGCCCCAACAGCACAGACCCTGCCTGGTGCCCACCTGGCTCGCTGCCTTCAACCACCTGCACTGGCTGGGCCTTCAGCACCCGCAGCAGCTCCTGGGCGCCTGCCTTCTCTGCAGCGCTGGCTCCTGTGCCCATCCACAGGTAGGCGGCCGAGGGGGTCTTCAGGACAAAGGCATCGTTGGAGTTCAGAGCACCAGCCTTGGGCACAATCTGGGAAGGCAGTGAGCCGTTAGTTGGGAGCCAGACAAAAAGGCCCAGCCACTCCTACCGCCCCAGGGACCCTGCAGCAGACCCAGCTCCTAGGTGGGAACTTGGAAAACTACACCCATCAGAGCTGAGGACGCAGACTTGAGACACAGATGGATCTGGCTGACCCCATGGGTCTGGGGCCAAGATGATTCTAGAATTCTGGGCGTCACTCACAGAAGTTGAGCACCCAAACAGGAAGTGACAGCGATTCTGCTCGGCCCGTCCTGGAGAACTATGCCCAGGCCTCTGTTCCACCTCGAAAGGGGCAGTGGCCCCCTAGAATGGAACTACACAGAAGGGGCCACATGGAAGTAAGCTACCCGTTACACAGGGTGTGTAAGGGACACTGCACGTTCCTGAGGCAGCCACAAGTCCAGGACAGAAAGGCACGAGATGCGGCTTCTGAGCCCCTCACCTAGTGCCACCCCCTACTCCTGGGCAGCTCTGCCTGGTTTCAGGGGGGGGCATCAGCCCTGATCTCCAGGCCCCGTGTGTTACCTCAACGGCCCGGGTGGCTCCAGAGCTGCTGGCCCGGACCTGGAAGAGGCGGGTGGGGGCAGGGGCCGTCTGGCCGCCCTCACGGGAGGTGCCCCCCTTGTAGATGATCATGGGCTTCCCGCCAAACAGGCTCATGAGGTGGGCGGGCTCCTTGCCTTGGACCACTCGGCTCTGGGAGGAGACAGGGATGAGTCAGGAGAGGGGTGGTGGGTTTCTCTGTGTGGCTCTGGGCCTGTCCCCCAGCCCAGGCCACCACATCGTGTCTGCGAGTGACCTGGAGCATCCCAGGCACTGGCAGGGAAACCCGGCTTCCAGGAAGGCCCAGGGTCCCCTGGGCGCTGCTCCCTGCTCATTCCCCTCCGCCCCCCGAGGACTCGCCCTGCTGACCCCACACGGGGACCAGAGCCTGGGAGCCCTGTGTGCAAATATTCCCTTAAACGGAAGCCGGAAGCTTGGGAGCCCGAAGAGTCTTCCAAACAGTGACATTGCCCCCTCAAGGCACGGAAGTGGTGTGAACGGAGCCTCCTGCAGCCAGCCTGGGCCTCTCTGCTCAGGCAGGAGCCAAGAGGGAGGGGACAGAAGACAGGATGCGCGCCCAGAATGCAGCTCACATCTGGGGACCCAGCACCCCACATCCAGACGCTGACCCCACAAGCCAGTCAGGGTACCGCCTGCCACGACCAGCCACGGCTGGGGCCCAGCTCCCACCCTACGCAGCCCCCACCGATGGTGAGTACTTGGGCGCGGTCCTCAACCTCTCGGGTCCCTCCTCTGGGAAATGGGGCTGAGTGCTCCTGCCCAGGCTACTGTGAGCTACAACAGCAGCTTCTCCCTCGGCACCCAGCAGCCGGACTGTCACTGGTCATCAGGGCACCAAGCCCTGCCAAGGGCAGGATGCAGGCAACAGAATCCCTGTCTGCTTCCCCACGTTTCCCTGTGGCCTGGCTCTGCTGCCCCACACGGCTCCAGCAAGCAGAAATCCCTTCAGTCCAGGTCACCACTCAGCAACTTGCGTTCTCTAGATGGAGGACCACATCCTTCACGGAGGCCCCTTCAAGTCACTCTCCAGCCTCGATGATGGCACCTTCCTCTCGCTTTAATACCCAATATGCCTCCATTTGGAATGCGCTTTCTTTCACCTTTGCCTGGCCGCCTCCTACTCATTCTTAGGCCCTAGTGGTGGAGTCCTTTCCCGTGGGCAGGAGGTGGGCTTCTCTCAGCTAATTAGATAATAGCTGAGATTTATATCCTGACACTTAACACCAATGCACACAGGAGAATCCCTCTGAGCCAAGCACGGCTCTGGATGTTTTACCAATGTTAATTCTCCTTCCTAAACGCGGCACTCCGCCAGGTGGGCACGGTGATCCCCATCTTCAGAACACAGAGGAGCAGAGGCCAAATGACTTAGCCAAGGCTGCCCGGGGTAAAGTTAGGTTTCGAAGCCAAGCAGGCTGGCTCCACATCCGTCCTCTCAGCTGCTCAGCCACACAACCCTCCTGGCTGCCCTCTCCCACAGTGTGTCTTCCTTTCACACTGCCTGTGTCATTGTGTGTGGCCCACGCTGCTGTGTACAGGTTTGCTGCACGTGTGTCCATCTCCGGACTGTGAAGCCCATCAGGGCACAGGCAGGGTCTGGGTGCTTGTGGCGGCAAGGAGGCCCTGCGTGATTATCTGCTGCGTGGATGGGACAGTGAGACAGTACGGATGGACACGGCCCAGCTGCAGCCTGGAGGGGCGGTGGGTGGCTCACCTGGACGGGACCCCCACCTAGCTCTTCATCCAGCTTGGCGGTCAGGATGGCTGAGGCAGCAACCTCATCCTGGGTAGACTGGGCCCCCTGCCTGGAAGGGGAAGTGAGGCTCAGCACAGGGGTTTGAACAGAGCCTGAGACTATGCAAGAAACCCACTTGCTGCCTCGCTACAGACGGAAGAGAGACCAGTTAGGAACCAAACCAGCGCTGCCCTCCCTCGGCTTAGAACCCTGTCTGGTTCCAGAGATCTGGGGGCGATGAGCGGGTTCCTTATCCTAAGGGTGCCCTGGAGAGGACAGGCTGGGTCATCCGCGCTGCACAGCTACAGCGGAGGAGGCCAGGATTCAAATCCAAGATGCAGGAAAGTGGCTGGGCAGTGCTTTTGTGTGGAAAAGCAGTTCAGAGGCCAGCAACTGATATATGAACCCGTTCTCAGGAAAAGACATGAGCAGGTTCAGCCTCAGGTGGACGAGGGCAGAGAGGCCTGTGCAGATACCAGAGGTCAGTGGTGACTGCCTGACAAGGGACAGCCAGGGGAGCTGGGCTTTCTACCCTGTCTCTCCATGTCCGGGCTCAATGTCCCACGACCAACATACATTATCTAGATGAGCAAACAAAACCTCACAAGTTAGTGTGTTGCCATAGCTAATTTTTAAAACTTTTCTCAAGAATTTTGTACCATGTGCACGTACATTCTATTTTATCTAACTTTAAATTGTTAAGCTGCTTCTAAAAGGGTGAGATTGTCAAGGTGAGATTCATTCTGCAAGGCAAAGGACCAGTGCTCTTTGAAAGTGCCAAGGTCACAAAAGGAAAGACTAAGAAACTGTCACAGATTTGGGAGACCAAGAAGGCGTGAAGACTTGAAGCTATGTCGTTGGGTGCTAGGTTAGGTCCTGGACCAAAAATGGACAAAGTGAGAAAAGGAGTGAAATTCAGGGGAAGCCCAAAGACCACTATGTCTGTACATGGTAGGTTCCTGACTGGTGGTTATGTAAGATGTGAACACAGAGGAAACTGTGAAATAGGTATACAAGAACTGTCTGGCCTATTTTCACAACCTCTTGGCAAGTCTAACACTATTTAGAAATTAAAAACTCAAGGAAGAAGAAATGCAGCAGTCAATAATCAAGCAAAAAGTCTGAGACTGTACAGTAGGAGAAAAACTGGAGCTTTGAGAATCAAACCCAGGGCCTTAAACCTGCTAGTCCAGTATGCTACCGCTGAGCCATTCCCAGCCTGAAATGTAAATTTAAAGTAGTGAGCTGGGCATGGTGGCACATGCCTGTAATCCCAGCCCTAGGGAGGCTGAGGCAGGAGAATCGCTGTGAGTTCGAGACCAGCCTGGGATACACAGTGAGCTCCAGGTCAGTCTCAACTACATAGCGAGACCCTGTCTCAAACAAACAAACAAAAAAGTACAATGAGATGTCATTTTTTCAACTATCAGGTTGACAACACTAAAACAGTGCACTGTGTGGCTATACGGAAACAGGCTCTTGCAGGTTGTTGGGGGGATGCAAAAATACCATGCGTACTATAAAAGGAAATTGGGGGCTACCTATCAAAATGACAGGTATCAGGACTTTCTAAGACTCGCACATCTGGGAACTGTGCCCAGAGGGAGTTCTCTACACATTCAGTATGGTGTTTGTTTAAAGTTACTCATCTCTGCAATGCCAAGCATCAACAGGAAATCTGTTAAATAAATCACCCAAAGGAAATTTACAAAGCTGTAAAAAAAATAAATAAATAAGGAAGCTCTGTAAGTAATGACACAGAAAGGGTCTCCAGGAAGAACTCGGTCCAAAAAGCAAGGTGCGAGACAATGTACACAGCCTGCTCTGTCATCCGCATAAGGAACGCAGAGTATTAGATAATTTACAAAGCTGTAAAAAAAATAAATAAATAAGGAAGCTCTGTAAGTAATGACACAGAAAGGTCTCCAGGAAGAACTCGGTCCAAAAAGCAGGGTGCGAGACAATGTACACAGCCTGCTCTGTCATCCGCATAAGGAACGCAGAGTATTAGGAATATGAGTCATATTTGCACAAAGAATTACTGGAAAGACACACAAGAAATCATCCAAAGTGGTGACTTGTGAAGGGATGGGGTTTGGAGGATAGGGTAGGAGAGGTACAGAGTGGAAATAGTAATGTGAATGTATCTCCTGTTCTGAAAGAATTGTTTAAATAAAGTTTTAATTGACTTGTATAACAAATAAATAAGTTGTATAACAACTGTACATATTTATGGGGTAGAGAGAAATAATTTTTTAGTTTCAAAACCTATGTGGAAGGATAAGGTGCACAGTACTCCAAATGGACTTGGGAATGTTTGCTTGGTTGGTTGATCTCTCCCTGTCGACCACATCTCCTACAATAAGCTGGTCATATTTTGGTAAGAGTAGGTTTGGAGAACTAAGACAAGTGATATTGCCTGACAAGAAGCGTTCTCAGCAAGGTGTAGCTGTCCCTCCTCAACCCGCACCCAAGTCCTCCTCAGTCCTCCTCAGCCTGGGCCCTTGCCGCCTTGCTCGGGCCCAGCCAGTGCCCACCAAGCCCCCCACACAGCAGGTGGCACCACTGCTCACCAGTTGTAGATGATCTGGCCCTGGCGGCCGCCATGACGATAGTTGTACAGAATGATGTAGCTGTCACCTCCGTAGAACTGCCCATACGTGGCAGGATCCACAGGCACCTTGTTGGAGCCTTCAATTCTCCAGATCTGCCAGAGCAAAGCTGGGGTCAGACACCCTGCAGGACCCCCACCCCACCTCCGGCGAGCTTTTCTAGGTGACTCCACTCGGGCCCAAGTTAAATAATTGGCACAAATCACACAGCCACAAGAGGCAGGGCTGGGACGCAAGCCCAGGTTTCCTGCTGTGCATCCTGACACCGTTCTCTGTCCCACCCTGAACGTCCTCCTGGAAGGGACCTTCATGGCAGCGCCTTCCATAGCCCATGAGCACTAAGAGCCCAGGTCGAAAATCAGACTCCTCCTGCCCTTAGAGGTCATGGGAGCTTGGACCTTGGAGGGTGCAATGAAAACCTCCAGGATAGGGCTGTGTAGAAAGAGCCCTGCTGCCTGGCTGTATAACCTGGGGCAAACAGTTTTTTCTTCCGAAAAATGGGCAAAATAATAAAACCTACTTGGAAGCATTGTGAGACTCAAACACATTTATTCACAAAAGCTCCCATTGTAGCCAGAAGCAGATGATAGCTCTGCAGGTGGTAGCCACTCTTACTAATATAATTATTAGTGTATCATTAATGTGGCCCTTGTCTGCGTAGTTATTAAATCGCCTAGACTTTATGGGTCACTTCTAGAGACAAGACCATCTCTAGGCAGCCTTGGAGTGACCCCTGCTGGCTGTGAGACTTTCCAAGGGCCCCGCCCCAAGGAGGCCACGCAGCGCCACCTGGTGGTGCAGCAGGGACGCCGCGTGCTCCACATCCGGGAAAACAGAACCCTACAACCCACTTCCCCCCTTGTACATTTCTTGAAGGCGACAAGAAGGATGGAATCCCTTTAACGGGTGAAAAAGTGTGGCTATGCCTCTAGAGCTAGCGTCCCCAGCCCCTCCCTGAGGATGTACCAGCCACCGGGGACAGCACCCTGCGAGTCCGGTCCGGAGATGCGTGGTCCCCTCCCCTCCCAGACCAGGCACTCCTAGGGGTGGGTGTGGGGTGTGAGACACGCGACCCGGGGCCCAGCACACGGTAGAGGCCCAGGTTATACACTGGTTAGAAAAAATAACACAAGCGTCTCATCTTCCAAAACTGCGGTGGAAAGCTCAGAGAGAAACATCCTCAGGGGAGCGGAAACAGCGGCCAAGGGCAGGAAGGAGGACCCCGCGTATTCCAGGCTGGGCCCCTCACTCCTGGGATACCTGTTTCTGGCCAGTGCCGTCGTCATCCATGCCGTGCTGGGCAGCCATGGCGGTGGAGGTGTGCAGCGTGGCGGCGTCAAACGGTACGCGCTCCACATTGGCGATGTGGCTGGAGAGGTAGGCCAGGCCCGGGCCGTCGGTCTGGTCCGGGTCCCGCCAGTTCTTAAAGAACTGCTTGAAGAGTGGGGTCTCGCCGCCCTCTGGAAGGACTGAAACCTGGCGGAGGAAGGCAGAGGGGACTGGGCAGCTGTCCCCAGTGTTGCCTGGTCCACGCACCCCCAAACCTGACCCGCTCCCCATCCTCCTTGGCTTCCCAGACTCACCTGGGTCTGCTTGGGATAGTTCATCTTGGAGATGAAGTCAGAAGCTGTTTTCAGGGCAGCCTTCCGCTCCTCCGTGTTGGCCTGCTTGCCTGTGGGCAGGTGGAGAAGCCATGGGGGGTCGGGGCTGGAGGCTGCTGCACCCGGCAACCCAGTGGTCCAGGAAAAGGGAAGCCAAGCCACCCCCTACACTTCTGAGGCTGTGGACCACCAAGGCCAGAGAACAGCTGCTTCTTCACTAAGAGTGGAGGGTTTCTGGGGTCCTCACCTGGGTCCTGGCCCGTGACGGTAACCACAGCCACCGTTTCTGTCTACTTATGAGCATGTGTTTTGTGCTCAGGACTATGCATAGATTATTTCATTAATCCACACAACAGCCTTACTAATAAAGATCATTATTTTCTTGTTCCCCTTTGCATACAAGGAAACGAGGGTCTCAGAGAGGTTCCATTACCCGGCCAAGGCAGATTCACACTCTAGCCTCCCTCCACTGGGAGGGCACTGCACCCCCACACTGCACTGGCTGGATTCTGTCCCAGCCCAGAGGCCTTTCCCGTACCAGGGCTCCTGGCCAGCGAATACCCAGATTTCCCATGGCCAGAGCCAAGAGCCAGGTCGGCGAGCCCAGGCCCCGGGAGCCCAGAGCAATCCCAACAGAGCCACAGGTCAGCACTCACTGTCCCTCTCTGTCCACCCGCGGCCTCCCTCCCTCTGTCCCCAGGTCTAAGCTCAGAGCATGCGGGGAAGACAGGAGGGGTCCCCTCAGAACTCCTGCAGGCCTCTCAGAAACACCTGGGCCGATGCTTTCCGAGAGATTCCTGCAAACATTCCAGAGTTCCATGGACTTCTAGCATGACAATTCCCAAACAGACCAGATTGCCTTCTAGAGAGGCCCTGGTGTACACTGGGCTACATTCCCAGCCCTCTGAGATTTTTAAATCTTGAGATAGATTTTTGCAAGTTTATCTAGGCTGGCCTAGATAAATGATCTTCCCGCTTCAGGCTCACAGAGGGCTGGGGTTACAGTCATGGGCCACCGTGCCCAGCCTTAAAGTCCAACAATAACAAACTTTAACATCGGCCAAGCTGCTGTTTGGGAGACAACAATTTTAGCCAAAATAAAGGAATCTGGGGCCCAGACAGAGTAAGTAAAGTGCCCAAGATTGGAGAAGGAATTGAAGAAACACAAGTGTTTCCCAGCTATAGCTGTAACTCCTTGTTCTGGCACGGATAAAAGTGTACCTGATCTGTAAACAAAGTTTGTCATTTTATTCTCACTAGACTCACAAGGCTCTGTCTTCTTTCAAGGCTAAATTACAGAACTGTCTGCCCTCACCCTGTTTCATGTAAACTCACTCGCTACGTCACTAGAAAGGCCAACCTATTTGACTAAATGTATAAAAACAAAACTTTTCTTTGTCCAGCTCTTCCTCCGAACCTAAGTCCATCGAGCTGGTGTTCACCTAAAATAAATCCTCCTGTTTCCCAGTGGTCCTTTCAGTCTCTTATATCCCTCAACAAGATCTTAGGGTGAGTCAATTGCAACACCAGGATCCCCGATTTCCTCTGTACCAGGCGTGTCCAGCAAACCCTGCCCTCCCCAGTACTGGTGGCTGGATGGGGCCTTTGCGCTGTACCCAGTACCTTTCCAGACAAAGATCTTCCCGTCCCTGCCGTGGTCCAGGATGAAGCAGTCCTCTGTCCTCAGGGCCCCCTGGGCGAAGGGGTTCTCATCGGCCACAAGGGAGACGGTCATGCTGCCCGCACCATTGGAGACCTGCATGACAGGGACAGAGCGGGCCTGTGAGTGTGTGCAGCCAGCACTTGGGGGACAGGGCTCTGCGGGTGACCAGCCAACCCTTGACCTCCAGCCTTGAGGCACAGGGGGGCTGCTTTTCCTGTGACCTGCAGAAGGACGACACTCAGGGGCACCCCGGGCACTGCACATGGAGAGGGAAGGCAGGATGGAATGCAGGATCTTGGGAAGCTCAGGACAAGGGAATTGTTTTCCAAAAAGATGTTCAACCTCATTCACAACAAAAAAGAAAAGTAAACTAAAAGGGAGCTAAATGCAACAGGGGATTCTGGGTTGGAACTTGGAATGAAAGCCTGGGAAAATCAGAACAGAATACGGCCTGGAGTTTAGCAAATAGTATCGAACCTGTATCAACTGCTCAATTCTGACAAATGCACATAGCTCTGCTAAGGGGCCGAGGAGAAGCCTCTCAGAGCTCTCTGTACTACTTGCAATATGTCTGAAACCTAAAAAGTTCCAACCTAAAAAGGTCATTAAATGTGAAAACAAAATACCACACTAAGCAGAGTTCAAAAGGCCAACAGTAGCTACTGCCAACGAAGCTCTGGGGAAACAGGCTTTCAAAAGTCTGAGCGATCGCCTGGTCACTGTGGAGGACACCTGGCCAAGGGCAAGTTTCAGATCACAAGGAGTGGGCTACGGATGCGGCTGGGTGGTAGGAGCACTTGCCTGATACACACACAGGGCCCAGGGAACAGGAAAACAGAGAGGGAGGAGCAGTGCGGGACCAGGAAGGGGAGGGGAGAGAAGAAAGAGGGAGAGGAGCAGAAAAAAAGGAGGGGGGGACAAGGGAAGAGGAGGAAGGGGAGAAAGGCGAGGAGAAATGTAAGAGGAATAAGGAGAAGGGGGAGAAGAGGTGGCAGAGGAAAAGGAGTTATCCGTGAACTCATTATCTACAACCAGCACCCCTCAAACACCCTCATTTCTGATTACCTCCCCAAGTACTTTCTTAGAATATTTTCCCATTCTCAGCAGACTCCCAGAAACCCTGCAAAGCTGACTCTTTTTTGCAGACCAGGAAATAGAACCAGACAGACAGAGGCAGAGAGGCACCCACAGAAGAGCAGGCCCAGGCGTGGCCGGCTGACCACATCCTCACATCCCCCCACCCTTCCTGCAGGAAGGCAAGGGCAGCACACCAGCCTCCACTGAGGTGTGGGTAAGAGGAGGCCCCTCGCCCGAGACCTCGCTGCAGAAGGACTGAGGAGGGTGAGATCTCCCACCTCCCTGTCCTGAGGCCACACCCAGGGGCCCGGGTAGCCAGGGCTCACCTTGTAGAGCTTGGCCAGCCTGCGGTTCTCCGCGTCCTCCTTGGCTGTGTCCTCAGTACCTTCAGGCAGAGCTGGCTTGGGCCCCAGCACCTGCAGGACAGGAAGACATGGATGGCCTTGAGGGTGGCTCCCGAGAGTGCCCCCTGCAGGTAGGGACCACAGGCCAGGAAGGGCAGCTCTCCAGGCAGAGTCCGCACCCTCGGTGACCTGCTGCATCTGCTCCCGGGCCTCCTGCAGGTGGGGCTCCTCCTCACTGGTGAAAGTCCTTCCCTCCCTGTCCCCTGCCTCAGGCCAGTCCTCCAGATGGGCCGGCCACTTTCTCCTGGACACCTTCCACAGCTTCCTTCGTCCTTGCACCCACAGCAGGAGGTGCAGGGATAGCACTCTCAGATGGGGAAACTGAGGTCCAGACATGTGTGGTCTCTCATCCACACAGCTACTAGGCAGCTAAGTCAGAACTGGAATCTCGGTCCCTGTGACTTTAGAGCCCATGTTCATGCATCTGTTCTGGGACTGTCCCACCTCAACAGCCAGCCACAGTCACTCCCAAGCCACGGCAGATGTCCTGGCTACTCTTCTCCAAAATAATCACCTCTTTGCTCTTTCCAAAACTAGAAACCGATGTCCCTGGTCTCCTTTCCCTCGTGACTCCTGTCTTATTAATACATCCCCAAGGCATAATGGCTGGCAATCCCATCACACTATTAATTAAATGGGCCTTAAACTTTTAGGGCTGATGGTGGGCGGAGGAAATTGGGGACTGAGTCTCCTCTGCTCCCCTGTCCTTCGGAGGTCTTGCCCTCCTCACTGGAGCAGGTGGGTCTATCCATACTCCAGTGCGTCCCGGGACCCCGACTCAGCTCTCAGGGTGGGGGTGGAGGTCTCTCTCCCCCTGCCAAGGAAGCTGATCTTCCCCACTCCCAGAAGGACACAGGGCCTGGTGGGATTACTAGCGAACTGACCAGAAGGGGGCGCAGGACTCACTGCTTCCTCCTCCAGGAAACAGTGGATGAAGGAAGTCAGGAGCAGCCCACCCCTGCCAACCCGCCCTTACCTGGAGCATTGGCTCAGGCTCGGAACCCTCATCAGACACTACCACCTTGGCTCGGCCACTCCTCTCGTTGTCCCGGATGCCCTTGGACACCTGTGTGGCCTTAAGTCTCTCAAATCGGTTGCTGTTGGACCCACACCACTGGTAGATGTTCTGCAAGATGGAGATGCCGGGAGGTCAGTGCCCCAGCTTCCCGCAGGACACGGCCAGGAGATGGGCTGCAGGGCATGTACCAGCTCGCTGTGCTCTGTGCCTGCCTGCGTGAGGGATGGCAGAGCGCACACGTGTGTGGCCTAGGTACAGTGGGTGTGATCCATGCATGCCAGGCCACATGAGTACAGGTCTGGGGATGTGCTTTTCTCACAGGTACAACCACGCCCAGACTAAGCACAGAGACGTTTGTACATGGCTGGTGCCCTCTGAAACCCCTCTGCAGCGTGGGTGGTTTGGGGAGTTGGGGCCTTTGGGAGGTGTTGGGACAGTAAGAGGGATTCATGTCTTCCCATGAGAGTGGGTGCATTTTTCCAAAAGCCTGTTAGAAAGCTGATGAGAATATAAATCAGCCCCACCACTTCAGAAAACCACTTGCCATGCTCACTTATACCGGATGAGTATAATCCAGATCCTGGGAATGCGCCTGACAAACCATAGCCCTGTGTCTACCCAAAGACCTGCGCAAGGAAGTTCTGAAACCACCCCGAGTGCCCATCAACAGCACAAAGGATAAACAAGCTATGGGACACCCATTCGAGTGAATCTTCCACAGCCCTTAAATCGACAACATGGGTGAATCTTAGAAATTCAATGCTGAAAAAAAAAAAATCTGGATGTAAAAGAGTAGAGTTTTATGCAAATAAAGTTCAGAAGCAGGCAAAGCTAAGCTAGGCTGTTGAGAGAATGCCAGACTAGAAGAGACAACAGGGGCCGTCTGAGGCTGGTGAAGTTTTTTGATCTGGTGCCCCGTGCATGGGTTCACTTTCTGAGATCCACAGAACTGTAGACTCACGAACCTTGCCATGTGCCTACTGCATTTTATTTATGTGTGTGTGTGTGTGTGTGTGTGTGTGTGTGTGTGTGGTACCAGGGAATGAACTCAGGCCCTTGTACTTGCAAGGCAGGCAGTGGAATCTCTGAGCCAAATCCCTGGCCCCTGCCTACCACATTTTAATAGAAGCCTTTCACTCCAGCCACGTGTGACAGTATACCACGGGGCTACGTGAGTGTGAGTTCTGGGTGTGAGAATGGCTATGACCCTTCTGAGTTTTCACTTCTGTGGGCTGGGAGGCAAGGGGCTAAACAGCATCCACTGTCTCCAAGGTCGTCCTGGGTAAGTGCATTCACACACATACCTGTGCACCCACATGGGCGACAGGCACCTGCGAGCCCAAGTCTGCAGTGTGCATGTGTGTGCACTCATTGGTGTGCGCATGTACCTGTGGGGTGGGCAAGAGCCTATGGTGTTAGCCCAGGCCTGCCTGGACGTAAGACATGTGCATATAAAAAAGTACACAAGACTTGCGTATGAATAAAATAAAAGGTGTCGGGGGGCCTAACTGCCAACCACAGTGCAATTTTACCATGTAAACGATGCGCACTGCACCTGTGTGTACATCAGCCCAACATGCTTGAGAGTACACAGTGGGGTCTATGCAGGTGACACCATCTGCATGTGGGTCTCTAACTTACCCACAGTGCACAGGGGCCTGCTGCTCCCTGGATCTGCCCTGCTCATGTCTATGCCTCTGTTCTTGAGCGTGTCCACCTCCCCAGAGTCAGATCAGGTCAGGCCAGGAGCACCCCAGTGGCTCCTGGGAAAGGTGGGTAGAACTCACACTGCCCAGGTCCAGGATGAAGCAGTCCCCATTGTTGAAGCTGTCCCAGGACACAGGCACCTCGGTGGCACGGACCGTACGCCGCCCTTTGACCTGGAAGAGTCTCTGCACCACCACCTCATTGGGAACCACATGCTTGAATCCTGACGCCACGCCTCCTTTCTGTGGGTCGGAAAACAGCATTGCTTGAGGCGGGAGTGAGGCCCAGAGAGCAGGTGCAGGAAGGACACAGGACTGTGGAAATGGAATTCTGGCCTGCGGACCAGCAGCCTTCCAACAACTCAGTGACAGCCAGCCAGCACAGGGCTCTCCCCCAGTTATCATTTCAGACTGGAACATTCATCTGCCCACTGCAAACTGAGGCTCAGAAGAGGAATAAATAGCCCAAGGTCACACAGCTAAGAAGTAGTAGAATCCCCACTGACTCTCATCCTACTCTGAGAAGACCCCAGGATTTGCTTCCATGGATAACAGAACTGCAGTCATTGCTTTCTCAGAGCCAGCATTCCCCTAGGGATGTCCTGTGGCACCCTACTCCCCCTGGGTATTCTGCAAGGAGAGGATTCCATGGTCAAACATGCAAGGGATGCTCCTTACTAATCCCCGCTGACTGTTACACAAGGAACATGAGCATGAAAAAGGTTCCGGCAAAGCATGAGATGAAGGCACCCGTATGCTTTTTGTTTTACCATGCACCTTCCTTTCTTACTTTTCTCCACCACATCCTGTCTTTGGGCTTGAATGTTCTGCAAAATGCTCTAATCCAACTGTAAATCTTTCCCATCCTTCAAGGCTCTCTAGGAAGTCTTCTTGAACTGCCCCAGCCCACGTGATACCCTCTGTCTTTTTCTTGTGTCACTGTGTCTCCCCAACTGAGCTTCAGAGGCAGCTGTGCATAAAAGACAGTGGCCCTGCCCTTAGGTAAGTATCTTCCCTTCTCTGAGCTTCAGGTCTCTCCTCTGCCCCTGTAGTCATCACTAAGTCCTGGAGCAGGGGCCTGCAGGGGGCCACCTGCCACTGGCCCACATGCTCTGGGCTCAGTAAAACGCCAAGGCAAGCTGGCTGGCATTTTTTCTTGTTGCCATTTTGTCGTTGTTATGTTGCAGTACTGGGGACTAAACAGAGGAACTTCCTACTGAGCTACATCCCCAATCCTTTATGTTTTATTTTGAGGCAGGGTCTCACTAAGTCACTAAGGTACCCAGGCTGGCCTCAAACTTGTGATCCTCCTGCCTCAGCCTCCCAGAATGCTGGGATTACAGGTCTGTGCCATTGTGTCCAGCTGGCTGGGCTTTCTTGAAGTTAGCAGTCCCCAGCTCCAGGTACTCATCAGCCCTAAGCCCCAGAGTCAGACCTAAAAAGTCTTTATATCGCACCAGAAGTTGGCTTTACTTGTGGGCACTTGGCAAGTGTGTGGCAACCCGTCCTCCTGCACCGGATCTGGAATCTCTCTGCGTTCCACATCCCATGGGGTGGAGTGGAAGGGTTTTCACAAGACTAGAAATACGGGCATCCCGTGGGTCCTTCTCTGCCACCTCTCTCTGTACAGCCCCGCTTAAGTCTGACGCCAGCTGCACCGACTAGGCAAAGGCAGGAAGACTAGGGGAGCCAGTTTAAGTCAGGCTTCCCTTTGACCCCCACCCCACAGCAGAGGAAGTGGCGCCCACAGCCAAAGGGCTTGCCCAAGACCTTACAGCTGGTGGAGCGTAGGGCCAGGATTCAAACACAGTGTGACTAAATATGTAAGGGCCGTCCGTGTTGTTCCCCCGATACCCAGATTTCCCAGAGCGAAAAGTCTCTAGGGTCACCCAAGAACAAGGCACATTGACAGCCATCTTTCAAGTAGAATATTTTCCTGTTGCTGAGAGAGGGAGTGCCCTCTGGTGTCCCTCCTTGGTATCAGCAGGAGTCCTAGGGCCAGGGCTGACTTAAGCACCGGAAGGGCTCTTCCTCCCTTCCAGGGATGGACCTCTTTCCATGCAGCCCTAACCAGGGACTTCCCTGGGCTGGGCATCAAGGGAGGGTGGATCTGAGAAGCTTTTCAGAAAATGCCTGTTGTACTGACTCCCCAGAGCTGAGGAGACAGGGCAGTAAAAGAAAGACCTTTGCTTGTTACATACCTCTGGAATGTTCTGCGTGTACAAGTGTGCCTTTTATATTTGTTTTCAAAAAACAGAAAAATTAAAAAGAATCACTTTCTGTCCTAAATCTCAGCTCTCAGGAATTTCCTATATAAAATTTAAAAGAACACTTGATTTCTAACGATGGAGGTTATGAGTTTTTTGATCAAATAACTCCTTTAATCTTACTGGTCTATGATATTAGACTTGGAAGGAGTAGATAAATAAATAAAGTAAATAAATAAATGCCAAACAAACTTTTACAAGACATTAGTGAGCTAGGCATTGTAGCCTGGGAGGCTGAGGCAGGAGGATAAGAAGTTCAAGACTAGCTTTGGCAACTCAGTGACACAGCAAGACACTATCTCAAAAACAAAACACCGTTAAAAGAGCTGGGCATACAGATCAGTGCAAAGGCACTAGGTTCACACATCAGTGGGCCTATAAAGACAGGAGACAGAATTTTGTTTTGAACTCCTTTTTTCTCATTTTTACTACAATCCCTCTCTCTCTCTCTCTCTCTCTCTTTTTCTCTGTAGTACATGGGATTGACCTCAGGGCCTTAATGATGAGCTACATCTCCAACCCTTTTTCATACTTGCATATATATTTATTTTTGAGGCAAGTTCTCACTAAATTGCTAAATTGTCTGGGCTGGGCTCAAATTTGCAATCTGCCTGCCTCAGCCTTTCAAACTGCTGGGATAGGAGGCATGTGCCACCATGCCCAGCTTTTTTTTTAAATCATCTTTAGGATTGTTGCTTTCTATAGTGTAGTCATTAGGTGGGAACAGACTAACATCAAGTGATTAAAACAAAATTCAGTGGGACAAGTAAGAACCACTGTCCAAATTATAGTGACAGGATAAATAAATAGGTATATTCACAGAGAGGAAAAAACCACCATTTGGTATCTATAAGGACAGAATCACGGGGCGACGTTTACTTTCTAAAACTGGCATTTCTGTAATGTTTGACATTTTACATCAAGTCTGCAGGACTCTTACAGTGAGAAGGGAAACAAGCAATAACAACTTACATGAGAAACTGTTGAGCTGTTTATAAAACAATGAAAAAGAAAAGACTGTGGGGCTGGACCCTCCGTCCTAACACAGTGGAGGTTTTCTAAGGAATGGGAGAAAAAGAGTCCATGATTCTCCGGGTTTCCCGCTGTGCTCTTGGACCAGGACTTTGTTTGAAACCCTCAAAGGGTTTCAAGTAACAGAACCCGGAGCCTGCGGGTCTCCAGGATTCTGTCTGAGACACAGGGAGGGGAGGGAGGCTGATGGAGGGAATTCTGCACCAAGGCCCAGCTCAGTGACTGTTAAGATTGCAGGGGGCGGGGGTGTCACAGAACACTGAGGTCCAGGCCCTGCGCCAGCCATTCCTAAGAGCTCCTGACCCCTCCCTGCCCCTCAGCACACGCCGAGGTCAGAATGGCTCCCAAGAAGAGGCTTTCACAGGAACAAGTCTTGCATAACAGCCTGCTCCTCGGGATCTATAATTGATGAGGGCACTGGGCGAGAACCTTGGGCTGGGCCTGCCAAGTGAGGGGGCAGCTTGGGGACTTGCACAAGGTGGTAAACAGGACCGGCTTTGAGCCTCACATTTCCACCAGGAGCTAGGTCTTTGCAGGGACAAAGCACAAATCGGGGTCACAGTTGGGAACTGACCCTCGGGGACATCTCCCAGAAAGCACCCCAGGGCTCGGAAGGCTTGGCATACGGACCCTAGGCTCTGCCTGAGCTCAGATCCAAGGCCAAGGACTTGAAGTGTCCACTCTGAGTCAGCTCTACATGAGGTCCTTCACATCTGGGTTGAATCCCAATTCCATCACTTAACAGATTGCTTAATATCCCTGCACCACTTACAAAACAGTGCTAACCCTCGTAATTACCCCCTAGGGTGAAATGAGTTCAATGGGTAAAATGATCAGAAGAGTCCCCAACACATGGTGAGCATCGTAAGTGTTCCACCACGGTAAGAACCTTCGCCCAGCTGGTGGAGTTAGGCAAATCAGTTCACTCCACAGAGCCTCGGCTTTCTCATCTACGAAATGGGAACGTTACCACCCACTGTATAAAGGCTAACGCGAGAATGAAATGAGAGCCTGTAACAAGGGCGCCGTATACAGTCCTGGTTCCTCTCATCCTTCTCTATCCCTAAAAATCCGGGGAGCCTTGATCTGCGTCGTAGCCTTCTCCGACCTGGTGAAACTGTCCTGTGCACATGAGAAACCTTACATTTGTGACCCTGTTCAACCAACTGGCCCCTAAGAAACAGGGGACCAAGGCGAGACAGATGAGCGAACCCATATGAGTCCCCGGGCCCCGAAACACTGACCACTCCTTGGGATCCCACGGACTCGTCTCAAATTGCCCATCTTTCTGCCTCCTTGAAAGGGACCCGACTCTCAGCCTGGTAGGGAGGGGCTTGAATACGGTGCCGGGACAGCTGCGAGGCCTGCATGAGGTCATCTGCACCGAAAGCGGGTGCTGCTGGTATCAGGGCTTCGAAACTCCCTGCTGAGTGATGATCGGGGGGCGCCCGAGAGGAGTCGGGGTGGGACCTCAGCCCCAGTCTGACTGGGTGACTGTTCTTTCCACTACCTTCTCCAGGACCTGCAGAACACCTGGTCCTTGTCCAGCTCAGGGGCCTGGTCCCCAGCCTTCCCACCTCTCCCTCTTCAGGTCCCAAGGCCAGAGGGGCTGGAGGAAGAAGGCAGAGCCACACAGCTGGGAGGTGGGGGGCACCTGGGGCACAGGTAAAATGGAAACTGGTAAATGCGCAAATGGGGCTGAATAGATGCCAGGGACTCAAGCCAGGCCCCACCCAGCCCCAGGCTGCCATTCCCAAGATACACCCTGTCCTTTGCTACACATCTAAGTCTCACTGTGTTTTCCCACCATTCAATCCCTTGTGCCTCTAGTCCTGGGAGCACAGGGTCACTGCTCAGTGACACAAAGGCTCTTGAGGCCCAGAGAGGGCAAGTGATTTCTCTGAGTACACACAGCACATTCGTGTCATAGGCAGGGCTAGACCCCTCTTCCAAAACTTTGAAAAGGTTCTTTTGGCTTGAAAAGAATGCTAGGAGTCAGGAGGCCTTGGTTTCTAGTTCTAGCTCCAGTAGCAATTAAGGTGCGACCATGGGTCAGGTGCTTAACCTCTCTGTACCTCAGTCCCCTGTAACTGCCACGGAATGAGCGGTCTGGACTCTTGTATGAGGCCTTCCTGACTAACAAACTTCGCTATCTCCTCTCTTTCCAGACCAAAGAGAATTCCAGCTCTGCAAGTCTACAGCTTTCTCCAAGCCCTTCCAAGGAGCCAAGCCCCGTGCAAGTCATTTCCCAGCCACCCCTGCACCAGATCCTCTCCAGCCCTGTAGGGCAGGAACAGCTGCTCTAACCAGAGAGGAAAGCGAGGCTCTGGAGGTCATGTGGCTTGCTGGGGTCACACAACAGAGCTGGGCACAGCCTCCCGGGCCTCCAAGCTCGGCTTTGCTCAGCCGCCCCTGGGAGGGAGCTCAGGGATAGAGCTCTTCTGCCTATCTGAAGAGTTCAAGTTCAAGGGAGACTCCAGTGATCAGCAAGAGGGAATAAGAGTGCCTTATCAATACCTAACAAGGGGCCCTTCATGCGCAAGGCCTTAAGAATTACGGGGTGCAGAAGAGAGGATCAGCCCAAGCCCTCCAGGGCTATGAGAAAGGCTGGGCTTCCCCTCTCTGCCCGCTCCTCACCGCTGGGCTAGGAAGGCAACCCTGTGACGTCACAGAAAATCTGCTTCTCCCCATTTCGAGAAAAGGAACCAGTGCCTCAGAGAGGCAAAGCTGACTTATCCAAGGTCACACAGCTAGAAAGGGCCCAGGATTCAAGCCCAAGGTGGGTTGGCTCCCAAGCCTGGCCTCTGGCCTGTCTGCCATTGCCTGTAAAGTGAAGGACAAGCAAACCTGATGGGTCTTGCCTCTTTGTATCTGTTTTGGCCACCAAGCAAGGAGAAACCTAACCCACCTTGTACTTCAGGCCAGACTTGAAGTAGCCGAGGAAGGTGGCCGACTCGAAGCCCTGGACCTCTCGGTGCTGCACGGCCCTGCCGTTCAGGTAGTCATCCAGCTGTACGGTGAAGATGGCGGCCGCCCCGCTCTCATCCTGGCTGCACTCATTGCCTAGGAGACATCAGAGCAGCTGAGCCTGGCTTCTGAGGGGTGGTTCCAACCCTGGGGAGGAGAAGTCTGGAGCCTCTAGCACTGCACAGGCCTGGTCAGAGAAGCCTCTGTGAGCCTCCACTAACCAATCCGTATAATGGGGGTGCAGGACCCACAGCACTGCAGAGCAGAGCTATGCTAGGCTCCAGCTCCTGACCATGAGGAGCAAATCAGGGAGCTGAGTCTGGGAAGCTGTGGAGGGGCCGGGATACCCATGTCACCCCCCGGAACTCGTTTTACTCTTTTGTGAGGCAGTATGGCTCTACCATCATTTCTACTCCACAGGGAAAGCAGCGAATTGCCAAACAGTGGAACCCAGGTCAGAGGCAGAGATGGGGCCCGAACTCAGCCAGGCTGGCTCTAGAGCCTGGGGTTGTAGCCGTCAGCGAAGGGCTTGGCACATACTTAATCGGGTAGCTCCTGGGGAGCACGGCTCAAAGGCAGGATGGGCAGGGGCGCTCACCCAGCCAGTAGTGGAGGTCGTACTGCAGATTCCCGTTCCGCAGCTGCACGGTCTTCAAGATGACATAGGCGTCGCCTGTGAAGAAGTCCCCGTAGAGGTTGGGCGGCACGGGTACCAGGTCGAACTTCTCCACGCGCCAGATCTGCAGGCCAGGCTGCTTCCCTGCCTTGAGGAACTCGGGGTGTTCCACCACCATGCTGCTGGGCTGGGGGGAGACAGGGCGGGTCCTGAGTGGGGGCTGCGGGCTCGGCAGGGAGCGGCCGGGCACAAGGTGCCCGGGCATGAGGGAAGGCGGTTCCAGCACCAAGGGCGTCTCACTTGAGCTGCCTGCTCTCCGTGGCTGAGGCGAGCCCACCCCTTTCTGGAGCTAGCAGACACAGCAAGAGTTGGTGCCCCAAATCCTGCGCCTTGGCCAGCGTCTGTCCTTCCAGCTCAGCAACCCTATCTGCTCTTCTGGGTGCCAAGGGTGGGGGGTAGCAGTAGGCTCTCCTGCCCTTCTCCCTTCCGTTTTTATTGCCAATTGGCTGTGACCGCAGTGGCACAGAGAGGCGAAGGGTCTCTGCCCGGGACCCCCAGCCAGGAAGCAGCATGAAGGGACTGTCCCAGGCTCCAAGAGCACACACTCCGGACCCTTCTGATTACAGTGGTGAATCTGAGTCCCCAGGGGCCCCGCCTGCTTCTTGCCGTGGCTGTTAAAAGTAAAAGGACCTTGGAGACTCACTAACCAACCCCCCTCGCAGATAGGAAAATTAAGGCCCAGAGAGGAGAGGGGACTGGGCTAAGGTCATACAGCCTGTTGGCTTTTCTCTTTGGATGCGGGAAGCTTGCCCGTGCCCTGCCTACACTCCAACACACCCGGAGAAGGGACAGGACTGCTGGGCACAAGTGGCCTCCTGCGCTGTCTGCCGCCTCCCTCCTGCCCCCCAACACCCCACCTCCAAATTGCATTTCTTGGAAAAGGCAGAGAGGGCGGAGCGGCGAGCAGCCTGGGCCTGCAGAGCCCTGAGGAGGGAGGTGGTCAGGGCTGGGAACAGGCAGTCACACATGCACTGGGGCTGGAGACCGCGGGAGTTAGGCTGGGGCCGGGGCAGAAGTCAGCGGGTGCGGGTCACCACAGGCCGGAGGGGACATGGCAGGAGTGAAGGAAAACCAGAGCGCCAAGGGAGGGATGACATACAGGGTGAACAGGAAAATGGGAAAAGAAACAAGACAGAGACAGGGGACAAGAAATGACGGTCAAGGCCACAAACAGGTGAGATGCACAAGAAAGACAGGAGAGGCCTCGGAGCAGGAGAAATCCTGAGGTGGGTGGAGAAATCAGAAAGTCAGGCAGAAGGGAGCAGTCAGTCGACAAGGAAAAGGAGAATCAGGCTGCAGAGATGGGCAAGAAATCAGAAGGCGCGAGGGGCAGAACTCCGGCCCAGGTGAGGTTAGCCTGGAGGGGGGAAAACAGCCAGCCAGGGCCCTGCTCCCGCCCACACCGCCAGAGCCCAGGGCAGCGAGAGATACTTACAAAGCAACAAAACAGTTTTTCCATTCTAGACCTGAATTACTCCCCTTTTCCTAGCGCTGTATCTGCAAGAACTTACAATAGAGAATTACTCCGGGGCCGGGCTCCCCGGCACTCACCCGCTCCTCGGGCGCCCGCCCCTGGGCGGCCCCTGCCTGGGTCGCCCCTTGTGAAGCGGTGGCCGCACGGGCTGGCGACAGCGCGCTCAGGGCCAGGAGCAGCGCGCACAGCAGTGCAGGGACCATGGCGGCGACGGGGCGGAGGACCCGGTCTGCGGACTCTGCCGGGTCGCTGACCTTAAGTAACCGCTCCCCATCCCGACCCAACCCGGAACGCCCCGCAGGGAGGGCGCAGGGAGGGCGCAGGGCAAGGCTGGGCCCCGTGAGAGGCGGGGATCTGCCTCGGATCTGGGAGACAGCTGGTTTCCACCCGGACTGACCTGACTGGGCGTGGTCACGCCTTGAACCCCAGCTCCCGCAGAGACCCAGCAGGGGCCTGGCATACAGCAGGTGCTAATTGGGGGCCAGCTAAATGGATGCAGGAAAGGACCCCGGGGAGCCTAGCTCACTCTGGTCCACTGTAACCCACCCAGTTCCCTCTACCCCTACACCCGATGTCTCCAGAAAAATGACATGGAATATTTTTGTGAAATTTGGCACTTGCTAACACATCTGAACATCGTGTTCAGAGTGGGTACTACGGCCAACCCATCTTACAGAGGGCTAAACTGAGCGCTGAGTGGCTAAGCCATTTTGTACACAGCTAATAAATGGCACTGTCAGGATCTGAACTCTAGCAGCCCTGGATCTGGGCAGAAACACACCCACCCCACCCCCAGCACGACCATCTGCTAGGGGCAGGTGAAGCAAGCAAGGCTGGGAGGGGCGGGGCAGGACTCTCAACTCCTGGGCTTTCAACGTCACTCCAAATGGCCTGTCTTTCTTTCTTCCATCCTAAGCCATTTTTTGTGTTTTAAAAGTTGTGTTTTCGATCAAAAGCTAAAGTCGCGTAGTTGTTCCCCGCTGTCCCCTCTTGATTCCGTTTACGTCTCCCCAGGGGCAGCACGTCCATCCAAAGCCTTCGATTCGTAAATAAACAACCAATTATATCCACTCAAGCCCTGTTGTTTGACGAAGCCTGTATCTATCCGGGGCAGCCCTCCTGGGGAAGACTGGATCAGTCTTCTCCCGATTCTGAGCTCATCCCTGGGAAGCCAGAGACCTAGGTTCTATTCTTTTTCAGTTTTTTTTTTTTTTTTTTTTTCTTTTCCCAATGCCTCAGTCTTCTCACCTACTATATGGGCATGACAGTTGCTGGGGATTCAGTCAGCCTCTGGCTGGGTACACGGGAGCGTCCCCTCCCTGGAGCCGTAGTCACCCATCCCAGCTCCAGGTGGCTGCTTATGGAGTCAGGCTGAAGATTTCCCTCTGCAACCCACCTCTTCCTCCCACTTATGGGGGACTGGGGTCCCATCAGAGCAAGGGAACACCAGGGAGCCTCGAGGGCTTAGGGGGAGGAGGAGGCCTGGGCCTTGAAGGTTGGGGAAGATGGAGACTGAGAACAAAAGTCATCCCTAGAGATAGAGCCGCATGGGCAAAGGGCAGGCAAACAGGAACCGTGTGCCGGCGAGTAACAAGTCTGACACACAGGAGCAAGAAGGGGCAGGCCCACAGCCTGTGTGCCACACTGAAGTCTGGATCTTATCCAGTGGCAGTGGGGAGCCCCAAAGGCTTCTGGGCTCCAAGGTCAGCTAAGTCCACCTGCCACACTCCAGAGCCTGAAGCAAGCTGTCCCGGCCCTAATTCAGAGTTGTCCCCTCTTGTGTGGGAATGATGAAAACCCCAGTGCTCAAACAGTCTTGATGGAAGCACAAACCATTTCACCTCGTCCAAATTCAAAACACACAATGCAACATTTCCTACAGAATCATCTCCAGAGGAACATCGGGATACATGTGCAAGAGTGTTCACTAGAGTGCTGTTTGATTGAAGAAAACTAGACAATGCCCAAATGCCTTAGCTAAATAAATCACGGAGCTGCCATACAATGGACCACTCTGCAGCTGTGAAAAAATAAATGAGCTAGATCCAAGTGTGCCTGGCACGCAGTAGGCACTCAGTAAGTACAGAGAGATCTCCAGGTGCAAAAGGCAAACTATGGAACACTGAATACAGTGTGGTTCCACTCACTCTTTTTATAAGGGTGTGTTTTTTAATTTATCTTTTGCAAACACCCCTAAGAATTCAGTAGATGCTGAACTGTGAAGGCAGCTTGCTGGTAGGAGATGGAGGAAGATTTACTGGGAGGAGGGTGGCAGATCACTGCAGTTGGCAGAAGGGAACTTTTTAGGGTGGTAAAAACATTCCAATACTTGACTATGGTCAGGAATAAACAACCAATTTTATCCACTAAAAATCATAGCGCTCTGCGCTCACAGTGTGTGAATTGTTACGGTACGTAAATTATACACCAAGTTACTTGCTGGAAAAAATTTCAGAAGCACTGCTCTAGGGTTTGAAACATTACACGTTCACATCCAATACAGTTTTGTTTTTAAGCCAGAAAAAAAAAAAAGAAAGAAAGAAAATGCCTTTTAAAATGTACTTAAGGAGATACTTGCTCATCAGGCAATTTGCAAAATCCAAAGGGGGAGGAAGTGGAAGGGTCCTTGTCCTTCCGGCCCCCTGAGAAGCCCGGAGGACGCTCCAATGTCCAGCTGAGAGGCCCCACCCAGACCAGCATGGCCCTAGCTGCCTTGTTGGTGATTAACAGACAGCTCTCGTGCTTGGCCAGGGCCCAGAGACCAGCAGCCCAGGGTCACTGGTCTCAGGTTAATGATCACAGAGGCCTTGTACCTTTACCTGGATGGAGCTGCAGGGCTGGGGTCCCAGCTCCTGACCTCTGGGACCCCAGAGCCTCTTGACCCTTGTATAAGGCACCAGCGAGTAGAGACTATGAGGGGCGACATTGTCTTCCCTGCTACTCCCTGCCTGGAAGAGGATGCATGAGTTCTGGGGAGCAAGGCGGTTTGGGCGCAAGAGAAAGACCCCAGCGTTAGGACTGCCTCTGCCACTGACTTCCTGGGAGATTTGGGCAGCTCACTGTCTTTAGCATCTCCATATGAAAGACAAGGTAGGTCCCAATGCTTGGCTGTCAGCCTTGTTTCTAGACCTAGCACCCCCTGTTCAATCACACCCAGAACCTACGCGTCTCTGAGCCTCAGCACTCCCATCTGCAAAGTGGGGGCACTGGGCCAGGCCACCCGTTCAGGTCCTTCTGAATCAGATACTCCAGGCTTGAGGAAAGAGGCACCGCAGTCACTGACAGCGGATGCTGCCTCATGTCTGGACCCAGCCAGGGAAACTGAGGCTCAGGGAGGGACAGTCATTTGCTCGGGATCATTCAGCTGGAAGGAGGTGTTGCCGAGATTCAAATACGTGTCTGGCTGGTTCCAGAGCCCAGGCTGTGAATAGGGAGATAAAGAAGGAGCCCTGGCACCGCCTGGATTGGGCAGGGAGTAGCAGATCCCCAGGCAGGGAAAGGATTGCAGGTGCTAAGCCAGTCCAGCCCGGGCTCGCTGGCAGCCAGGAGTCTCTGGGATAGCTGTCTCCACCACACCTCCCAGACTGGGATGGGAAAGCCCGACCAGGAAAGCCCTCCAGACACTGGCGCCACTGCCTAGGACAAAGGCACATCCTAGGAACATCCCCAGGGTGAGGCCACCACAACTTGGTGCTGCTTGGCACTCAGGTCTGGCCCGGTGTCTTTGACTTGGTGGCCGCCCATCACTACCCACTCCCTCAGGGAGCGCATCCTAGGTCCTGCTCTTGGCTGCACCTCTGACCCTTGACCTCTGACCTTGGCTGCTCCTAGCTCTGCCCAATGCCATGCACACAGCAGGCAGCTTCTCAGGGTCTGCCACAGGATGGAGCAGTACAGCCAAGTCCCTCTGGTGCAGCCCTGTTTCCCCTAGGGTTGAACCTAGGACCCCCACGACCAGCCCCAGGTCATCTCCTGCCTAAACTTCAAGCTACTCTCTGGATTGGTGTGGGCCTCCCAGGGCGACTACCAGATACTGGAGGAGGTGGCCTCACCCTCCACCCCCAGCCACAATGCACAAAAGGCCTTGGCTGGGCCGTGCAGACACCACCCTGTTCTCTCACTCGGAACACTGCCGTTCTAACTTTCCCAGCAGCCAGCCCTTCGTGGGAAGAGCTCTCTCTAAAGCTTATTTGCTTTGGGCTCACTGCTGTTCTCCAGTCCTCCTGGGAGCACACACCCTCTGGACAATGGTCAGGAAACAGAGGAGCCAGTTACGAAACCCAGTGAAACTGGACAGGCCCTCGACAAGCCCAGTGGACTCATAAGGATACAAGTTTTAAAGTCCAGCATGCCTGCCTCCTGCGGCCCAGGCCTCAGTTCCCTTAACTAGAAAATGGGGAGCATGGTACTGACTCATGGAGGAGCTCCCCCAAAGTAAGCACCCATCTTCCCAGCAGCCTGCTTTCCCCACACATGCACCCCGAATGAGCAGTGTGGTGGTTCTGCGGAAAGGCAGTGTACAGAGGTGAGAACGTAACGGGCCTGTGTGACCCGGAGCAAGTTCCTTCCCTCTCTGAGGCTCAAGTCACTCGTTTGTAAATAGGAACAATGATGCCCAGCTGCAGGGTTGTTTGGGGGATGGAAAGAAGCCTGCTGGGGGGCACTAGACAGAGCAGGGCTTGTTAGCAGTGATGGCCATTAGTCCCCCCTCTCTTTCTAGACGATGACACCGAGAACAAGAGGGCAGTGTCTCAAAACAAGTGCCTGGCAGAGATCCGGCACTCAGGTCTCTTGACAAGCAGGCCAGAGCTGAGGCTGGGTCTTTATCCTCAGGGTCAGCTGGGCGTCGGCCTTGGCCAGTCTCCTCCTGGGTGTGGACAGCTATTGGGAAGATGACCAGTGGGGCTTGGCTGAAACCACCTCCAGGAGGCCAACTATCCCAGGGACTGAAGCCACTGGCCCTTGCCCAGCTTCCGGAGCCAACCCCACCTAGTGCTAAGAGCCAGGGCAGGACATGTGCAGCAGGCTTGGCCACACCACCTCCTGACCCCGTGCCCTGGAAGTGGCAAGACTTGGCCATGGGCATGAGCTCAGGGTGTGGCTGTCAGGACTGTACAGCAGCCAGTCTCCCTTCTCTGGGGAACAGCAGGCCCCGGAAGACAGCAAATAACTGCAAATAACAGTACCCAGCCCCCCACTCCAGGCGAGCCCAGGCGCAAAGACAAACCAGCAGCAGGACAAAGAGGCCCAGCTGAA